AAAAAAAAAAAAAAATTTAAAACTTTTCTATTGGTATCTGTAGAATTTCATTTGACCTACCATTTTATTATTTTTTACTTACTTATACATGTATCTTTATCAGCAGACCCAGACAAAGAAATGATATCAATAGAAGAGCAAAGAAGTCATATGATTGGTGAAAGGGTTGAGTCACTGGTATGTAAATACTAAACTAAAAGTTCCCACTTAATACTGTGCTTCTTACACAGCAGCATCGTCAAATGAATCATACACCATATTGACATATAGAGTAACTGCTTGCTATTTAGTATTTAGTTAAATAAATATTTTAACTCACTATTGTTATAAGACATTCTTAGAATTAGCAATGCTTCAGAGATAAACTTTGTTTTTCCTCAGTGGAAAATGTCTTTCTCAAAATGATGTATAGCTCTATGCGCATAAAGCCAAAAAAGGCCTAATGGCTCAAAGAAGTATGGGAAATAAGAATTTTAACATATTGGAATGAAATTAACATGAATAACAAAATCCTTAAAAAATAAATGAGAACCCTTTATTATTATTATTATTGGAAAACATGTGTAACTAGAATTTCAACTTAACTTCAGCAGTCTGCCACTGGTTGTACTGAGCAGAAGGAAGATGTGGGCCATTTAGCTGGGGCTGGAGATCAAGGAAGAGAAAGTATGACAAGATATACAATGAGAGGTATGAACTACACTTTATTTATAGTCCTCAGATGGAAAATCTATTTAAATAAGCTGGAATGAGAGATGCTAGCAGGCAAAGCTTGTACTTGGCTTATATATAGGCAAGCATAAGAGATGCCGAATAGTGGCAAGCTTAATGTAATCCAGTGTCAATACTACATCAGCTGACATATTGGATAAACTACAGGCAGTGTAATGTGTGAGAGTTCTAAGGGATAACCAAGGACAGAGAGAAAACTGAATGATGAGGAAATCATGGAATGATCAAAATGAGTTTAGGATGTGTGGTTTAAATGTGAAATGATCATGTGTTTGTACACTTGTTCCCTGTTGTTGTGGCCAAAGAAGGTTGTAAACTCAATGTGGGTAGAGGCATCCTGGGAGAAAGTGTGTCAGTTGGGCTGGACAAGAGTTTTTATAGCATTTCATGTAAGGTCCTGTACATACAATATTGTTGCATGAATCTTAGAAGGTCTTATTAATAAAATCAAATCTGAGGCCAGTTATTGGGGTGAACACTGGAAGATCAGAGAGACAGAACAAGCCACAGCTAACCTCACCTGGCCAACTTCCCAGCTGATCTTGTTTCCTCAGACTGGAAGCCTCTGTGTCCTCATATCCGAATGGCTCTCAGCTGAACTGTGCTGCTCAAAACCTAAAAGCTTAACCAGCAAAATGCTTCTAGTTTCTGGTCCTCACGCCTTAATCTTTCTGCTTTCTACCATCACTCCCTGGGATTAAAAGCTCGCTTTCTGGGATTGAAGGTTGTATCCCTTCAATATGCTTGGCTGTATCCCTGAACAGATGGATTTCTGCCTCTAGAATGCTAGGATTAAAGGCGTGTGCTACCACTGCCTCTATCTAGTGGCTTTTCTGTTCTCTGACCCCAGATAAGTTTATTAGGGTACACCATATTTTGGGGAACACAATACCACCACACAATATCCATGTTTATGTATGGATACGCTATTCCCAGCCTGCCCCTTTTGTTCTTGCAGAATTCCTCATACTTGAGAAGGACTTTCTGAAATAGGATGCCTTAATGCATCATAAACACAAAGAGCATTGTAGAGTACAAATGAATCATAGTCCACGAAGTTTAATATGTCATTTAGTTTATTTCTTACTTTATTTTATAGTCTCCAAATAATGATTATAGTGACATCTTCCAGGCTTTCCAATTGGTGCATTTATTGATTCAGTAACAATTAATTATATACTAACTGGATATTGAAATTTTTGAGTCCTGAATGTTTCTGGAAACAAGTAGTTCAAGCCCAACCTTATTGTAAACTTGTGTCTTAAATGATATCATCCTGTGATACATGTTCACCCTGCTGACAGTCCTTCCTCTACAATGTTACATTGATCTACATCTAGCACCTTTATGACCATGAGATGCTTTAAAATATTAATCACTAATCATGTAAATGTATAATATTTTGATTAATTTGATTTATAATATTTTAATAATCAGCATCTGTCCTGATCCTGTGACTCTGTGTTTTCATGTCATGTCTTTCATATCCCCAAGAAGGTAGCTCTTAAAGTTCCCCAATAATTCATATATTTTAGAGCGACTATTCCCTCCTTATATTCCTCCTGAATTTCTTGACAATTCCCACCCTATTGTGCACCCAACCTCTCAGTTTTGACTAAGTCCAGGCTTACCTGTTGGAAACTCTGCCTTCATGCCTTTGCTGAATCTATACATATTGATCCTTAGCATGTCATGGGATATTAATAAATTATTGATGAGTACGATAAATGACTATTTAAATAAATATGATTTAAAATTTTCTTCTTTTCAATTCATCATCTCAAAATTTACACATGCAGTTTTTTACAGTTGATGTATTAATGTACAGTAGGAAAATAGATAATTGTAAAGGACCCCAAAATAGAGGTGCTTATTTTTCTGGAAAGATGACCAATCAATGAAAGTTAAACAGAGCTGATTGAACCTTCACAGAAGGAAGCAATAAGTCAGGAAACATTAAATTGTATGTGATAGTTAATTTTGTCAACTTGACATCTCCAAGCTCCACCTGGGAAGAGACTCAATGAAGGCTATCTAGGCCAGTTTTGCCTGTGAGTATATATGATATATATGAGAATATATGATATGAGAGATCTTACCCACGGTGGAGGACATAATTCCCTATGAATTGGATCCAGAACTGCACAAGAGTGAAGAAATGAAGCTGAGGGCAAGCATGCATGGGCTGGTTTTCTCTAGGCACTGGACAGATATGGCTAGTGGCTTTAAGTTCCTGCCACACCGACTTCTATGCTATGATGACAGTAGCCAGTAATGTGAGCCAGGGGAAGTATCTCAGAATACAAAACACAGCATTTCATTCTCAGGAAAAGTCACAAATTTCTAAAAACCTAGCAATCAAAACCGACTTGTATTAGAAAAATCGACGCAAGACTTGCTTTTTGCCCATGTATTAATCACAGCAACAGGAAGTAAAAACTAGGACAATATATATGTGTTCATAGTCACTGAACAAAGAATAGTGTTGGTTTGGGCCATGAATATGCACATGGTGTCCTAAGTCTTCTGTTATGAGGCTGAGAACAATGTATACTGTGAATCTGAATACAATAATATTCTAAAATATTATGTCTAGGGGTATGTTCATTCATGTAAGCTTGAAGGATTTGTGGATGACCTTCTGAAATCATTCCATATCTCTGAACTTTGTACAGTCTACTGTCACTCTTTAGATTCACATAAATCTTGAGTGATCACAAGTATCTCAGAAAGTCTCAACTAAACATAAAGGGTCCTCAAAACTACAAAATTGGAATGAATGTGATCAAAGTATAATGTATAGAATTCTTAGGGGATAAAGAATTATTAAATATGAACACTTAAACTAATTAGTAAAGATTTCTATTTCTATTTATAAGTTTATCTACTACTACACTGTAGTTAATGTTACTTAAATATTTGCCTTCAACAGTAGCTCTATGCAGAGAGGTGTCAATCACAGAAGAACAAAGCAGACAAGATAGCCAGGAAAGTGTTCAGTCGTCCGTAAGTAAATATCTAAATTGTTTTGTATGACAAGACAGCACAAGCCAAGAAAATTGCTTGTCATATTACCCTATGGAATAATTGATCACATCTTTATTTAATTAAATTAAATTTACTCTCTTGTAATCCTTAGTTTATTCTTCAGAGTCTTCATGGAGTACAAACTAAACATCTGCTTTATTATGTAAATAAATAGCTTTCAGAAAATTACCTAAGCCTCCTTGTGTGTAAATTCTGTAATACTGTAAAGCTAACTTTACAATACTATCTGATGAGTAACCAGAGAAATATACCTGTTACTTCACCTAAATCCTCCATTTCCTTCAAAGCAATAAATTGCTTCAACATTTGATACTCTTTTATCAATTATTCTAATAAAAGTTAATTTTGATTTTTAACTTTTAAGTTATTTCTTCATTTTTTCTGAGAGTGGAATATTGTGTTTTATATCCTAAGATATTTTCCTTGTCAAGTTCTATTTGTATTGTGTAGTGAGATTCATTTTTTATTTTTATCATTACCAAGTAACATTCATTGAGTAGATACAAGAAACTAAAGACAGTTACTCTAAATATGCAATGCCTGCTGGGCTCTGCACAGTACATAGTATGTATTTGTTAAATACTTTGAACATATATTGAATTCTAATTAAAGAAAGGCTGTGCTGTGCTGTGTTGTGTTGTATAGCAAGGTCATTTTGAAGAGTTCATTCTATGTTATTCAGGTTAGCCTCAGTTTCTCCATCTATAAAATAAGATTAAGATTTAAATAGACCTTTACCACAGAAACAATATGACATACTGTTGTTATCATCATTTTTATGATAATACTAAGATGGCCATGCTCTCTTAAGCATATGCTACTTTAACATAAATATATGTCTCAACATATACATTCTGTTTTTATAATTCTCATGGCAATAATGTTAGACTCCAGTGAGTCTTCAGTTTTGGTTAATAGGATGCCCCCTAGCCGTTAAGTATTTTGTTTGTGAGTTGTCTTGTAACAGATAAGAATTTAACACACATTTGACCTGTTGTCACTTTGAAACAACAATAAATGATATTTATGATATCATGATGCTATGATATTTATTTTCATATTGGAAGGCTTTGTGTGTATGTATCTGTAGTATAAATTTTATATAAAAATTAGCAAATAACATTGCTTGCATATTTACTTGTGAAGTTTCCTTGACAACTCCTTTCTTTTCTGTGACAATGCTTCTAATGGCCTTCAAGATTTGGCTTTCCTTGTGAGTGATGTATGAAGACAAAAGTTAGACTTGATTTAGATAATGCATATGAGATTCTCTGTTACAGTGATGTGAAGTCTAGTACAGATTTCTCATATTTCCCCAGTCTCGCTGCTTCTGATTTGAGATAATCAGACCATTTTAGAAGTTGTATGGTTTTCTTCTGCGATTCATTTTTTAATTTTAACAGGTTCTCTCTGAGCCTCATCTACTGAAGGAGGATGTTGTTCATTTTGCTGGGATTCCAGTTCAAGAAAAAGAAAACATAGCAAGTATAGAAATGAAAGGTAAGGCCACCATTTATGTGTAGAGATTTGAAGGACCACTTATGTAAATCTGAACACAACATACATACCTTATGACATTAATCAAGTTAAATGGTTATAAGAATTATATCTAATCTGGTCTTTACAAATATTGAAATTATGTGTGCCACTGAAGTAGCTGAATTCTCAAATTTCTAGAAATTTGGGTATCACATTGGAATTGAAATTGTTGTTCAGTAGTCTGGTATTCTGCATCTGTCCTTGGGTTATCAAGAGGACTTTGGTTAGACAAACATTCTTTGGGAATATCTATCATTTATATTTGACAATTACAATTAAAGAATAATAGGCTCTGGATTTGAGAACAAGTATAAGGCACATGGGAGGAATTGTAGGGAGGGGAGAAATGGTAGAATGTCTTAAATATAGTACCAATATATGAAAAAATAAAAAAGATTTATGCAAAGACCTTTTGCATGATAGTTTAAGATATAAAAATATTAAATGAAAGTAAATATTAATTTGAATTCTGAGCATGTTTCTAAGCAGCAGAACAAAAACAAAAAGACAAAAAGTAAAAATTGTTTCTTATTGGAATCAGCATATTAATTCTTGTGATATTAATTTATTTGATGTTCTGAGCATGTAATTCTAAATGCTATTGCTAAATAAGAAAGAGTAATACTCAGCATGATTCATAAAACAAGTATCAAATGGTAAAAGAAAATTGTATACCAGGAGATTATATATGTGTGTGTACACTTTATAAATATGTAATTTATGAATATGTATTTCAAGTTTTATTTTCATCATCTCCTTGTGTTTTTCTGTACAAATGTGTATATCTTTTATGAGATTCAGATCTGTTTGCACTAAGCTTGAATACTGCAATGAAAATCTAAACTTTTCTCTCTCAGGATATTTTCACTTGTGTTCAATTGATGAATTTGTGGATGAGGCTTTCAGAGATCATTATGTTTGTTTAACATGTATCAAACTATATGTTTGTAAAAGTTACTTTTATAGAACATGTGTATACAGTGTGTGTGTGTGTATGTGTGTGTGTGTGTGTGTGTGTGTTTTACATGATTACAAGTATCTCCAAAAGAATTATATCTTCTTTGCTGGAAACATGGCTCAGTCATTAACAGCACTTGCTGCCTTTTCAGTGAACCATAATTTGATTCCTAGTACCCACTTCCTAGCACCTAGCACTCATAATCCATTTTAACTCTAGACCTAGCATATCTGGTACCAATTGTTGGCCTATGTGGGCATTCACACTCTGTAACATGCATGTGAATACAGACAAACGTATAAATAAATAGTAAAATTAAAGTCTTTAAAAAGAGTTACATCTTCAACTAAAAATCAAGAGTAAGTGGAAACATTCATTGGGAGAATAAATTTAAGCATCTCTAATATATATATATATATATATATTCATTTTACATATAATTTCACTTCATTTTCTTGTACTTAAATGCATTCATTTATCAGCAGTATCAAGCATAGAAGTGACATCCACTGAAGAGCACAAAATGGATAACACCTCTGAATGTTCAGAGTCAATGGTATGTAAATGTTTAAATCTAAGGTCCTTATTTTACAAAGATTTGTTTTGTTTAACAAATTAATGAAAGTAAATCAAATTACTTTGTCAGACCAGACTACCCCAGAAGATAATTTATCAGAATTGAGTATTTATTTTTTGTTTTGAACCTCTGCTTATCTAGTTTTTAGGATTTCACACATTTATACAGCACACCTTGATCATCTCCATTCCTTTCTCCTTCTCTAGATCCCTCCTTTGCCCTAGCATATCTCCATCTTTCTCTCAGTTGCATGTCTTTTGCTCTTTAATAGGCCAGTAAATGTACACATAAGGAGTCCCCCGCTGGGGTATGGCTGCTGCCACCACAAAGAAAAGTGACCCTCTCTCCCTCAGGAGCCGCCATTGTCTCCTCAGCTAAGGGTGGAGCACTGGGAATCCCTTCCACATCTTAAACACTCTTGATCTCATGGAGGCATTTGTGTAGGTATCCATAGCTTCTGTGATATCATTTGTCCAAAGCCAGCCTTTCACACTGACTCCTTCCTATAAATACTTAAGCTCATCATTGTTGGAAAATTCCTGGAATCTTCATGATTTCAAAAATAAACTTCTTTTATATTTTTGCCACATATCTTTCTGAAATTACCTGTGCCACCATACATATGAATCCTATAACATGCTAAGGGGTTAATACATAAGTTCTATGATTAAGCATTTGAAATTTTGAGCAAGATCTTTGTGATGATAGACATATTGGGTTGATGTTAAAAGGTTAGAATTTATAGTGGGTCAAGAATTATGTTTGTTTTAATCAACAGTGATTCCAATTCTAATATTGCATCCTTTAGCTTTCTAGCAGACCTCCATTCTTCTGAGATGTCTTCCATTATTCTTCCATTACATGTAGAAAATAGGGGTCAAAAAACTTACCAATGTGTCTATTAAGACTGCCTTTTGGCCAGGCGGTGGTGGCGCATGCCTTTAATCCCAGCACTCAGGATGCAGAGCCAGGTGGATCTCTGTGAGTTCGAGGCCAGCCTGGGCTACCAAGCGAGTTCCAGGAAAGGCACAAAGAAAGCTACACAGAGAAACCTTGTCTCGAAATACCGAAAAAAAAAAAAAAAAAAAAGACTGTATTTTATTCCCGTTCAACATGAGGGTATCTTTCTCCACATATGAAGGTACCTTTCTGGTTTACTTTCATGTAAAGGACACAGATTGGTATGAAAGTTTTATATATATATATATATATATATATATATATATATATATATATATATATATATATATACACACACTGCGCTTATTGTATCTGATGATATTCTTAACAAGTTGCCTCATATTGATCTACACATCTATACAGATTGCATTTGCAGAGAAATTTTAATAGTTATGTGTTTGGGTGCTATTTGATAACTAGGCTTGATGTTCTCTTGAATATGTTTTAAATGTATAGACTGCAAATATATTGCTTTTATTACCTACTAATACTGTATGATACACATTAAAAATTTTATATTCCAGATAAGGCTCTTATCTATAGCTATTAAAAGGTTTCTGCAGATGCAGTCTATAAGGGGATGTTGGTTTTAGTTGCCCCAAGTTAATGGGCCCATTTAAAAAATAGATTTATTTATGTGTTTGAGTGTTTTCCCTGCATGTATATATGTGCACTGCTTGTGTGGCTGGTGCTGCAGAGGCCAGGAGAAGATGGTACAGAACTGGAGTGAAGGACAACTGCAAATCATCCTGAGGATGTGAAGAACTGAATCAAAGTCTCTGCAAGAACACAATAGCTCTTCATTACTGACCCATCTCTCAAGCCCCCTCCTTTCTTGTTCATTACAAAGCACAGCCTAAGATGGTGACACTATTTTGTTATCAGAATAAGAAGTGAGACCTACACACTGCTTTTGTTTTGTTTGTGGCTGTGGCAATATTACTAGGTTCCCCTGTGTCTCGATCTCTGGACATGGAATGCTCTTCACACTGTACTCATTTGAGACTGGCTTTATTAGAGCCTGGGTATAATAAGTGTGCTCTGGTGATTTCATTGGGGGAGATAAGGATGTATTTTAGAATTATTTTCATAGTTGAGATGTTATTTATTTTTATATATGTGTAATATTGTTTGTATTTTGAAATCTTAGCATAAATAATCTTAATGGTGTCTTTCCTTGCTATCATGTATTTGACGCCTACTATTCTTTCTATGAAAATGGTTATGATAACCTACTAGGTCTGCACTCTTTTTTTATTCCATGCCTATGAAGTAAAAACTTAGAAATTATTTAGATAATGTATACTACATTTCTCCCAATGACATGCAATCATACATAGTCTTCCTTAATGTCTACATTTTTCTTTTAAAATAAGAAACTCTGATTTCTTATGAGTTTGTAGATCATTTGTGCAGCTCATTTTTATGTTAAATTTCATAGCCTATGTCTGAGTGTCTTCTACAGAAGAGAGATGTGAGTCGTTTACCTGGGACTGCAGATCAAAGAAGAAAAAACATTACAAGTGGAGAGATGAAAGGTGTGAGCTATGTTTATGAGGTCCCCACTGATAGAACAGTTATGTAAATCAGGAGAACCGATATTTGAAAGTAGACGTATAATTATTTTTATATATTGAGTTAAAGAATTTAAATGGTAGTAAGATTGATTTCTAATACAGTTTCAGCAGACACTGTAACTGAATGTGTAAGTAAAACAGCTGAATTGTTCAATAAATTACAAGGCACAGTAGATCTGAGGGGAATTCAATCACAATGCAATACAGAGAAGGCATGGATTTAAATGAGGACAAAGTTATTGAGTTCCAGAAGCACCAGAGTCAGGGAAGGAGTGTGTTGTAGTTAGAAGGTGATGTGTGGCCACACACCCAAGAATATTTGGGTGGCATAATTTGGTATTGATAAGCTCTTTTTTTTTTCTTAAAAAAAAAAAAAGACACAAAGTTGGGTAGCCAATGAGGAGGGGTAGATCCAGAAAAAGTTAAGAGAAGAGAAACAAATGTGATCAAAACACAATGTATGAAACTCTCAAAGAAATTAAAGAAATAATTTATTTCTTAATAAAGAAGGTAAATCATATCCATTAGGCTCATATGTTTATATACTTGCTCCCCCACCTCTTGGCACTCTCTGGAAATGCTATTATCCTCTAAAAAATTGAGCTGTGGTGAAGAAAGTGGGTCAGTGGAGACAGAATATGAAGGATTTTGGCCTAGCTTTACTTCCTGATTTCCTCTCAGGGACTGTGATAGTGCTGGCCATGTGATTCAGTGGCTTTAGGAGTCCAGACTCATCCTTGGGTAAAACAAGATACTCTTGTTATCAGAGATTCTCACTGCTCATTACTGTGATACACAGCTAAACCAAAGGAAGGATAAATATTGATTTGGTTCTAGGCTAGTTTGAAAGAAATATGAAAGTTGCAAAGAGATAAATAATAATAAATAATAAAACTTTAGGCACCTATTGGAACCAGCATACTAATACTTTGTTATCAGTATATCTACATTTCTAGTTGTATAATACACTTGATTGCTGAATAAGGATGAATACTGTGGTCAGAATGTGTGTGTGTGTGTGTGTGTGTGTGTGTGTGTGTGTGTGTGTGTAAATAAATGAATAAAATAAGACTATAATTGTAGTAATAATTTGCTTAAAGTGAATTACCCTCTATATAAAAGAAAGCAGGAGATGTAGGTTAAATTTGGAATTCTTGGTGAGGAATCCCAAGCAAACTCCTTTCAGATAGCTACATTGAAATTATATTCAACCTCAACCACTGCAGCTGCATAGTTTTGTGGAACCAGAAATGCTAGAATTATGGAGAGCTGAATCACTTTCAATTCTCTCCATAATTCTTAAACATCTCATTTATTATATAATCAAAAGGATTCTTTACATTCAGATGATACTTTATTATCTTTTCAACTGAGTTGATAAAGAAATACTAGGATCCATAATATAGTGAGAAAATGATATAGTGAGAAAATGTATATACACCAGTACCCCTTGTGTATTTTGAAAACAAACAAACAAAAAACAACAACAAAAATCCCCGAACATTTCATAATATTGAGTGTGTCTCCAATCACTTCAGTTGGTGAAAAGGGTGTTGATATAAAGCACCATACATTTCTTTTTTTTTTCATTTTTCTTTATTAAGAAATTTTCTACTCACTCCACATGCTATCCACAGACCCTCCCTCCTCCTTCCTCTCACCCCCCAGCCCTCTTTCCCAAACCACCCCACATCCCACATCCCCAAATCGAGGTCTCCCATAGGGAGTCAGCAGAGCCCAGCATACTGAGCCTAGGCAGGTTCAAGCTCCTTCCCACTACACCAAGGCTATACAAGGTGTCACACCACAGGCACCGGATTCCAGAAGCCTGGCCATAGACTAGGAACAGGTCCCGATCCTCCTGCCTGGGTGCCCCCAAACAGTTCGAGCCAAACAACTGTCTTCCATATTCAGAGGGCCTCGTCCAGTCCCATGGGGGCTCCACAGCCACCAGTCCACAGTTCATGGGCTTCCACTAGTGTGGCCGGTCATCTCTGCACATCCTCCCATCATGATCTCAACGTCCCTCGCCTAGAGTATCTCTCCTCTCTCTCATCAATTGGATTCCTGGAGCTCAGCCCACCATACATTTCTTAAAATGCAATTTTCATCATCTCTTTGTTCTTGCTGAGTCATAGAACAAATGAATCAAAATTGCTATAGTATGACAGAATAACTTTTCCTGATATGTTACAGTAAGTGTATGTGTCCTGATGATTACCATCAGCGTACACAGGAACCATAACTCCTGAAGGTCCTGGGGTTAATATCTGACCAGAAATCATACCTCTCTTTACCACTCAGCTCATTCAAAGTGGTGTGTTTGCATTTTCTTAAGTGAGGGTCACTAGACTCATATAAGTCTGAAAAATACTACTTTTAAAGTTTAGTTAAGAACTTATCCTTATTTTTTAAACTTTTATTCCTGAGGTTTTTTTTTTTTTTTGGTATTATGAACTAAAAACATGAAAGGAGGCAAACAATTATCTCCAAAGACCAAAATCTAAATAGTTAACAATTTTCCAAGTTAGCTACTTGGATAGATTGATTCCCTTCCCTATTAGTACTGCACAGTTAATTGGTTATTTTGCCAATTTTTGCATAGCTGACTTTGTACCTCTTCATATTTGTAGGCTCTCCAAAGGACTATATGCCCCAATTCAAGGTAATACATGTTACATAGTGTCAATATGATTAATTACATGTTTTATGAATTTAAAAAAATAAATGGAATTTCTTCTCTCAACATCCATACAGCCTATCATTCAAAAGGAAAGTTCGTTTGAATACACAGCAGTAGTAAGCATGCACGAAAGTACAAGCGAATCAGGTAATTTGCAATATCAATACTGTGAAAAGAAGGTGTGTGAAAGATGTGAAATGTTTTCCATGTTCTTACTCTTATCTTTACAACTCAAAATCTGAGGAAAGAATTTGTCAATGATTCAAATGTCCTTGTTGGCATTGGTATATGAATTACAAAATATATACAAATATTAGAGACAAAAAATTTAAAATATGAGTCTAATCGTATGGCTCCCCAAGTACAGTTCACCAGGAAGTTCCTTGACCAGTTATGCAACTCCCACTGTTTAATGATTGATGTGTGCACCCTTTCCTAAGCTTACAAATAATTACTGGAAAAGTGGACATCATTGAGCACACCCATGTTCTGTAATGCACCTGACCCGTGGAATTCAGACCCATCTTTAAGACTACAGTAATTTCCCATGGTGGAAAGGGGGAAGATACATTTTCATTCCTACTGGAAACCACAAGCGATTGGAAATCTGCGAAGAGTGTTCCTTCCAGTCGGTTCACCACAGCATGCGTTGTCTGTGCTGGGTTGCAGAATGAGGTCCACTTTCACAGATCATGCGACTTAATGTAAACATTACAAGCTGTTTTCATGCCATGAACGTTTTTGGGAGCATTTCCTGGGTCAGGTCTGAGGCTGCTTATGTTGATCTTTAATGAATGCACGCTCGGATAAGCGTGCTTGCTTTGCTGGTGTGCTTTCTTTCTGCACAGTCGCTGATCTGTGTCAAGAGCGAGTGTGACAATGGGACACTTCAAACACATCACTCTCTAAGTATCTAACATTTCTTAGCAATTCTTTAAGAATCAGACTTTGGCCTAACTTACCAACTTTGCGTTTTCCTCTGTATTCCGTTTTTCACTCACTTTGCCATCTGGTAACGTCTGTTTCTCACCGGTTCATGTTTTTCATGTGAATATAACCTCCATTTGTTTCTTCCTTTGTGTTTCCACAATTTCCCGACCTCTATGCTCCTAACCACATTCTTTTGCTGCAATCCAGGCTTACCAGTGGGAAATGTATTGTTGACTTTTCCATTGACAGTGTAAAATTACCAGCCCCTACCTCACATGTAGCCATATTTCAACCAATATTTACTGAATAAGAAGAATAATGATTTATTACACAAAGATGATAGAAAATTTTGTTCCTTCCAATCCATTGCCAGATGATATGCACATATAGAATGATTTAATTATCAAAACACGATAGAAAACATGAAGGATCCTATTTGAGAAATACCTAGTCTTAACAGCCAATCAGCTAAGACTTCCTACAACTGAGAGAATTGAAAAAGCGCAAACAAGAATGTTAGGAAAGTAGACAAAACATTGGATATGTTTGCTTCCGCATATAATACAGAGGAAAAAACAGCAGTATTTCTTTTTTTAATTTTTAATGAATTTCATTATTGATTTTTGGGAATTTCACATCATGTAACTCAATTCCACTTACCTCCCAGTCCCCCCATCTCCTACCCTCACTCCTGAAGCATTACTCCAAAAGAAAATTTTAAAAATCAAACCAAAATGAAACAGAGCAAACAAGCAAATAAACAAGATAAAGAACACCCCCCCACACACACACACACCAAACAAAACCAAACCAAACCCCCAAACCTCTTTGCTTCTCCACCTTTCCTGCCTCTCCAACACCTCTTCATCCATCCTGGTGGCATTGGGAGCTGTGATGTGTCACACAGTCCACCCTCTTTTGTCCAATCAGCTTCACTAGCAAATGTTCACTGCAATGAGTCATTGATCTGGTTCAAGGCCTCTGGTTTCTGGCACACCACCCTCACCTGGATGAGCCCTAGTGGCAACATGGGCCGTGAACTTCACCACAGACTCCAGACATGGTCCAGGGCAATAGCCTGGGTCTAGATGTCACCATGGCCCCAGGTGGCATCAAAGCCCACCCAGATTGGCAGGGCTCCAGTGGCAGCTCAGCCCTTGAATACCAACATGACCCCAGGTGGCAGCCTAGACCCCAGGAATCAGCATGGCCCTCAATGGCAACAGGAACCATGGACGTCAACACAGACCCTCACTACAGTAGGGCCCGGGACCCAGACATGGCTCCCAGCTGCCTGGATGTCACCATGGCACAGGGTAATAGTACATGTCACTCAGATCTGTATGGCCCCAGCTGCAGCATGGCCCTTGATCTCCAACATGGTCCCAGGTGGCTGATTAGACCCCAGGAAACTACACAGTCTTCAGTTGTAACAGGAGCCACAGACGTCAACTAAGGCCCTATGGGCCACTAGTACCTGCCTGAATGAATGGTGGGCTGTGGATGTTTTCCGATCAGCCTGGGCCTTACAGCAGTAGTTCTGATATGAGGTTGAGAATATTGTACACTATGAATCTAAATACTTCAATGGTATTTTCCAGTTTTGTGTCTAGAGTTTGTTCACTCATGCTGAGTGGTTCATTTATGGATGAATGTTTAAAATCACCGAGTTCTCTTTACTTCACACTATCTCATGTCTACCCAAGTGACACATATAAGTTTGCGTGAGCATGTGTATATCTCACAATACATTAAACATTGAACTAAATTATGAGAGTCCTTAAAATTGCTCGTTGGAAAAATGAAAATTCAATATCATCATAACTATGTTTAAATATTCAATTTATTTCTATATAATGCTTTTACTTTATTACTATATTATAGCTAAGGTTAATTAAATATATTCATTTGTTAGAAGAACCAGACGATGAAGTACCATCAACAGAAGAACTAACAAGGCCTGAGGACCATCAAAATGTACAGTCATGGGTATGGAAATATTACATGGATGGGTCTCATTCAGTAATGTTTTGTTTTAACTTACTTAATAACTTGACAGGCAAATACAATTACATATCAAACTGACATTCACAATAGTCAGTCACATTATGTACTTTATATAAAATATATTTTACCATCTTATTATTCTTAACATATTCTTAGGTGTCTCTATGTGGTCAAAGCTAAACATGATCTTAATTTTGTTGCTCAATATCTTTGTAAAAATTATTTGAAACTTCATGCGTTTTAGCCCTATAACATACTAATTTGTTAAAAATCAAAATATATCCTCATGAGTAAGCAGTAAGAAAATCTCTTAGTCGCCACATATCCAGCAGTTTATTCATACCAGAATCTATTACTGAAATGATTGTAATTGGCTAGTACCTATTGTGTTAATTCTTCTGATAAGAGATCATTTTTATTCTGGCTTCTTTCTAGAAATTGCTTTCTTTTCTCTGGGAATTGAATGTTGGGTTTGATATTCCAAAGTGTTTTCTTTGTTGATAATTAATGCTTTATTTTTGTTTGATTTGATCTGTTTTTGTTGTTGCTGCATATATTTATTGATTTCATGTAAGAAAGCACCAGCAGGTGTCTCTAAATACATAGGGCTTGTTAGGTTTTGCATAGTAAATGTTTGATACACTCACAGGCTTATACTTGTTAAGAAAAGACTACGCTATGAAACCATGCCACACTGAGGTTCCCATTGTGTGTGACCACATTTTCTTCAATTCCCCAGTCTATGACATGGGAATAAGATTGTAACCAGAGGTTTAACAATGAGCTTTCTAGGTTGCTATGTTTTAATTATTATTATCATTATTTTAAGATAGAAATGGTGCTTTACCTTGAGCAAGTAAGTGAAACACACATTTTTCATGGTAAAAATACTCGATGCCTGTAAATACTTAAATTGGTTTGTGGAATTCCCATGTAATTAAAGTATTTGTGAGTTGCTTAGCTGCAGATGGAAGTTTCACACATTGTGGTGGTGATTTTAATCTGAAAAAGAAAACAAAACTTGGCATTTATTTTTACATGTTAAAGGCATCACTTCTGCATTTGATATAAATTCTCATATTAAAATCTTAACAAATCATCCTGATTCATCTCTACTTGATGATGCATATTTGACAGTTATTGTGATTCCTAGGAAATGTTTCAGATTTTTCTTTCATGTGCACACTGTGAGAGGTGTGTGCATTCAGCAGTTAGGCTCACACCTGACGGCACCTGAGGGTTTCAGCCTGCATGACAATGCTTTCCAGTACATGCTGCCCTCAGGGTTCAGTCTGGTTGCTTTTGGAATGAGGCATTCGGATACTCTTAGAAGAAAGGAAGGTATCTTGCAGCTTATTTTCGTATTAATTTTAACAGACTACCTCTGAGACCTTTTCACAGGAGGACAATGTGGTTCCTTTAGCTGGGACAACAGATGAAGGACCAGAAGATGTCACAAATGCGGAAGTGCAAGGTAAAGTCTTCATCTGATGCATAGCCCTTTAGGGCAAATATTTATGGAAATCAGAATGGTTGGTTTATTATCCTAGTCAAACATACTTAGCTATTTTGTATGTTTGACTAGGATAATAAACCAACCATATAGCAAGTTAAAGCGTCATACAGGCCACGTACAAATGGTTTCTGCAGACATTGTAACTGAATGAACTGCTAAAGAAACAGATAAAAATATATCAGAAAGTATCATGATGTCTGAGGAGTACAGGGAAAAGGAGGCAGAGAAAAGAGTGACAGGAAAGTCGTCAAGGGACCAAAAGGAACCAGTGAAGGCGCATGTGCAGTGTGTATAGGGGTGGGGGTGGGTAATGAGATTTTTTTTAATGACTTATGCTCACTTTAAAAATAATTGTGTGTGTGTGTGTGTGTGTGTGTGTGTGTGTGTGTGTGTGTGTGTATTATAAAATTTGTGCTATGGATGAGAATTAGCCATAAATCCAAACTGTTTGCCCATCAAATCAAATCACTTCCTAAGTACTGTACTATTGTTCCAACTATTCGACCCTTTCTTCTTTCTCCTCCTCTTCCTCCTCCTCTCCTGCCTACACTTTCTCCTCCTCAGTTCTTTTGGTCTCCTTCCTTCCCATGCATCTGCTATTCTTTCTGTTTGCGCATTTATAGACAAGCCTTTCACATAGAATATCCATGTATTACAAGTGGGTGTTAAATTACCACCCTGCCTCTATATGTAAACCTTGCATGATTCCATGCATCATATAATATATAGAATTTACAACTCCACACTAGGTTTTCTAAAAGTCATAAAAATTCACCATTTATTATAATTAGGTTTAAACATTTCCATTTATTCTGATATAATACTTTCACGTTTTCTACCACCACATTAAAACTAATGCTATGTAAATACGTGCATTCATTAGCAGTTCCAGACAAAGGAATGATATCAACAGAACAACAAAAACATGACAGCCATGGAAATAGTCATTCACTGGTATGTACATGTATAATATTGTGTTATTTTGTTTAGCAAGATAGCGTAGGCACATACAGTTACATAGTATATCACCATATGGAATAATCATAATTTTGTATTTATTTTTAAAAACATTTTACCATCTTATAGTACTTAGAGTATTCTTGGAGACTTAGTTTTGTTGCCTAGTGTCTTTCTGAGAATTAGTAGATTCTTCAGGTGTATCAACTCCATAACATTCCAATTAGTTAAGACCAAACTACGGTCTCATGAATAAGCAGAGAAGTAAAGGTCAACTTCTCACACAGCCTCCTCTTCCTTCAAAGCAATGTCTGAGACAGTTCTAATCCATGATACTCTGTGACATCAACTGTTCTAGTAAGAGTTTCTTTCGAGTTAGAATATTTGGGGACTTTGCTTGATATTGGAATGTTCAGTTCTATTTTACATAGTATTTCGCTTGTTGACAACTTACATTTTTGTTTTGTTTTATGGGATCCATTCAATTATCATTGTCCTCATTAAAGACATTTATTGGCTAGATATAAGAAAGAACCAAAAGGCAGATTGTTGAGTTTTGCAAACTAAATAATAAATATTTGTTGACTACACAGAACAGACTTTGGGTATTAAGACTTTATTTCATGAAGCAATGCCATGTTGAAGTGCTCCTTCTATGTGATGTGTAATAACTTCAGGTAATCCATCCACTGAGTAGAAGTAAGATAAGTTAAGAAGTTTAACTTACAGATTTAATATGATGATGTATAGTTTATTTTCTATCATTTTAGCATTAAAATGAGAATGCTATTTACCCTAATCATATAAAATTTTTGCTAGTTTTATGCTAATACTAGATTCCTGTTAATCATCAGACAGGCTTACTGGAATGCTTCCCCACTATGACTATCCATTTGTGAGTCTCATACAAATGGGATTTTAATACATTCCAGGTGGTGATTGTAATTTACTTGGTATTTATTTTTATAGGTGGAAGGTTTGATGTCTGTGTGAGTTAAATTTCATTTTTTTTTGAGACAGGGTCTCTCTGTGTAGCTTTGTGCCTTTCCTGGAACTCACTCTGTAGACCAGGCTGGCCTCGAACTCACAGAGATCCGCCTGCCTCTGCCTCCCGAGTGCTGGGATTAAAGGTGTGCGCCACCACCGCCCGGCTTAAATTTCATTTTATTTATTTTTTCTGACACAGGATTTCTCTGTGTAGCCCTGGCTATCCTGAAACTTGCTCTGTAGACCAGACTGGCCTCAGACTCAGAGATCTGCCTGTCTCTGCCTCCCAAGTATTAAATTTCATTTGGAAAGTATTACTAAATAATCATCATTTATATTTACTCCTGGCATTTTGGTGTCAGTCAGTCTTATTGCTCTTAAAATGTTGCAGATGGTCTTATGAGTATTGTGTGTTGTCAGTGGGCATGTGGCAAGAGAAACTAGATTTGATTTAGATAACATACAAGGTGCTTAGTTCAAAAGACATGGCTTACAATACTTTGTACTATAATTTTTGAAACAGGCTGGATTTGAAATATGGTATTTAGATGTCCTTTTTAAAAATATTAATTCCAACAGACAACCCCGGAGACTTCTACATATATGGAAGATGTGGTTCATTTTTCTGTGCTTGCAGACCAAATACTAGAAAGTATGGCAAATGCAGAAACTAAAGGTAAGATCTACATTTTTATGTGCAGCCTTTGGAAGGAATATTCACATAAGTAATATTTAGGTGATTCAGATGGGACGAGTTATTCTGGTAGACAAAGATACTGACCTATTGCTCATACAGGAAGCTGTAGGGTAAGAAGAATGATATACCGTCTACTTTCTGTGAATGTTGAAATCTAACATGTCACTCCAGCAGCTGAATTTCTAAAGAGATTACAAAGTATTGAGTTGTCTGAGGAACATGATGAGGAAAGTGCAGAGAAGGCAGGGGAAGGATGTTCGATGGTTATTGAGTACAGGGAGTAAACATAAGCCAGGAAGGGTGTGCAGAAAGGAGTGTGCAAAACACTGAAATTCTCTAGGAAGTGAAATATAGAATACTATATATGTAGGAAGCACAGTGTAACCTTCCAATATGTAACCAAGCGCTAACAGCAAAACCACTCATTTCACTGCATTATTTCTGGGACGCCGGTAAGCAGCATGCCTGCTTGTTCTTGAGTTTCATCAGATTGAACACAGTTGCCATTTAACACCTGGATAGAAATTAATATCCAGTAGTGGGTCACTGCTCAGAGTAGTATCACAGAAACCCAAGTCATAGAACCGGAGATAACCGAAGCACCGAGAGGGCTGTGAGCTTTTCAAGAGCATTCTGGCCAGTTCAAAACCCGACTAGTAATATTTTATTTTTCTGTGGTTTTGATTTTGTGAACATTTGGATGAGGAAAAGAACCAGACTTGAAAAAGAATTGGGGTAGTATAATTTAGAAGGAGATCTCCTATCAAGTATAAATTCTCAATTTGGATGGCTCACCTGTTGGGTCTCATGACAGACTTGACATTGAGATTAGGCTGTTCTGGGATTCTGGATTTCCCGTGGTTTATCAAGAGGGTTCTGGTTAACTATATATTGTACTGGGGATCAGATATCAAAAGTTCTGTGCAACAGTACATTTGATCATGGTTTGAGACATAATTGAACCAAAGAGTGGCTGAATACTGCTTTGGTTCTGGGCATGTTTCTAGACAGCCAGACAGTTCCAAAGAGATGAATGACAGCAAGTTCCCTTTTGGAATTTGCTCATTAACTCTCTGTGCTATCACTTGTTTAAATTATAATTGCATAATTCTTACACAGTGTCTGAGTCAGGGATAAAGAAAATGTAGCATAATTATACATCTAATAGAACATGGACAGAAAGAAGGACATATCTAGAAAATGGAATGAATGATCTGCATAGATACAATATCATAAACAGGAGTATAAACATATATACAGTATAACAAAATGACTTTAAATTTGTATCACCATATAAAAATCCATACCAATGTAAAATATTTGAGAATAACTGTTGCTTTTTAGTGCCCTGTGCTGGCTGCTCAGGTGCTCAGCTACATAGCAGGGCTTCTTAAAAGAGCTGCATCTCTGTATGCCAAGCCTACCAGAGAGACTGGGGTCACCAGGAAGCTGCCCTAGGAAGCTGGTTGTTCAGAACTTTTTTTTTTTTAGCTTTCTCAGTCCTATGTGAATATACTTGGCCAGATACTGGGTACCATATATAATGAGTCTTTTTCTGTTCTGCCAGCCAGCTCCCAAATAATGACAGAGACTACTTATTAATTATCAAAAGCTCAGCTTATAGCTTAGTCTTGTTCCCAACTATCTCTTATAACTTAAATTAATCCATTTATATTAATCTACATTCTATCATGTTACCTCTCTTCCATCTTACACCTCCTGCTTCTTCTCCATGTCTCCTGGCTTCTGCATGCTTAGATTCCTCCTTTCTCTCTCTCCCTGGAAAATCCCTTCTACACCTCCTGCCTTGCTATTGGCCATTCAGCTTTTTATTACAGCAATAACAGCAATACATTTTTACACAGTGTACAAATATTCCACAGCAACAGATCCTAAGTGTTTGGATGATATTGCCACTGACATAAAAACAAGAGTTCTTACCAGGATAGGGATGTCTTGGTTAGTTATTTTGTAAAAGCTCTACAAGGACTAGCATGGTACATGAGAGCAGTATAGGACAATATTATCTACACAGTATACTATTACAATACTTATTTCCGGAGTCACAGAATTATGTTGTAGTAAATGTTGCAATTAGTCAATATGTAGCTGATACAAAATCCCCAGTAACTACATGAAGATCATTTTATTTTACTTTTCATTCAACTGTCTGTGTTTGTTCATGTATATGCACATACATTTATATGCTTGTGCATATGGGACTATGTATAAGTGGAGGCTTAGGTCATTCTCAAGTTGTGTTCTTCAGAGCCAACCACCACATTTCTTGACAAAGATTCTCTCCCTGGGACATGGGACTTGCTGAGGCATCTAGGCTGACTTGTGAGTGAGAACCAGAAGTTCTCTTGGCTCATTAGTGAAGATGGGTTGAGTCTCAACAGAGAGAGAGGAAAGTGAACAAAATTTCAACACTATATGTGTTCATACAATGAGCAAAAAATACCAATAGTTTTGATGTTGAAAGAGAACATTGTTCTCATATTTCTTTAATGAAGTTGGGAACAGTGAGCATGGTGAATTTGAAGATATCATTGGTATTTGTATGTTGTCTATATGGTTTGATCACTGATGTTGAATTGATAAATTTGAAACTGAAACCTCAAAATACTTTATGCCTTTAACCTATATCAAATCAGTGTCTTCTCAATTCATACACAAGCATACAAACGTATATGTATGTATACATGCTCACACACAAATACTAAGGATAAAGAAAATCATTAGTTAAGAAAATAAGCATAAAAATTTTATTTTAAATAATTTTAAACATTTCTCTCTCTATATGTATCTACTATGTAATTATATTTTATTTACTTAAATATGCATTTTTTAATCAAAACCAGACAAAGAAGTGACTTCAGAAGAAGAGCAATCAAGGCATCGCCACAGTGAAAGAGTTAAGTCCGTGCTATGTTAATATTTATATTGACAATTGTCATCCAATACTGTTTGTTTAACAAGGTAGCTTAGGTAAACAAATTATACTTTAGATTATCCTATAGAGCAAATGGTTATAACTTAATATTTATCCCTAAAATGTCAGTTCGTCATGTTTGCTATGCTATTTTAAGATGTGCATAAAATGCAGAGATAAACTTCATCTTTCATTCAAAAGCCAATATCTTTGTAAAGTTATGAAACTTGTAAATTTGAAAAAGGTGTATGTGACAGCCTCCAGTTGAATTGACACTAAAGGGTGGATCAAGATTTGGGCTTTTGGATTCCCAGTTGATAATTCCAACCTTAAGTCTGAATCCTTCCTTCTGGTCTCTAGATGATGTCTACTGCCTACTGAAAGTTCATTCTGAGAACATGTACTCTCAGTGTGGGTAACATATGTGTTACACATGAAAACACCTTCTTAGCTTTTCTTTATTTAAAGGGTGTAAACTAGCAAATATTGTTCAAACTACCATGCACTTTCCTACATTAACATATATTGGTCTTAGATGGCTTATATTAATTCATATGTCTATGTGGATTTCACAGATATAAACTTTTAATACTCATTTGTTAGAGTAATATCATAGCTAAGTTTGGCATACTCTTGGTGATGTTTTAAATATTTGAATTTTGAATATTATATCATATGAACTCTCTTTAATATATAATATTTATATATTATAACCTTGATAAGGGCTTATGACACAGTGACAGAGTAGCAAAGCTAAGGAAGATGCAAGCATTTATGGTTATAGTACATAATTTATATGAATAAAGCAAGGGATGCTTACAGCAGTGGAGCGTGTATGGGATTCTATAGTTAAATTGTCCTGTGTGATATTTAACTGCACCCTAAAGGTTGAGAACAAGTCAATCAAGTCAATGAGTAGGAGGATAGCACATTGGACAAAGTATAATAGAATATATCCATTCATCATGGGGGTCTTCCCATTGTAGAATGACCAGAAGCAATGGGACAAATGTCCTCATAGCCACATTTAAATTTATAAGGTACAGACAAAGAGATGTTCAGTGAGTGCCTGGCACACATACACCAGATTCCCAATAAATTTTCTTATGCTTTCCTCATTCCCAAGCCTGGCTCTACACTTTTGAAGTTCTCTTTTAGTTGGGATTTAGATGTGTACAATTTCATGTACTTGTAAGTTATTATGTAAATACACTCTTATATAAAATTTCTATAATCTTTATGAACTCACTCTAACTATATTCTTATTAAAATCATTACCACTAAATATTAAAATCTTTAAAAAGTTTTTATCTGTAATAAGTAATTGATATACCATTCTCTACATCATAAATATGAGAGAAAATTAAATATTTTCCTTTCCCCATATCCTTCACTACCTTCAAAACAACATTGGGCACTGAAAGCTGAAGTAATTTATACTCATTACACCAAGTGCAATATAAGAATTTGTTTCTACGTATAACATTTGCTAATGTTCTTTACTTCCTCTTGGGAACCAAAATGCAGTGTTTGGATTTCCAACAATTTTTTTCTTATTGTCATCTTCCATTTATTTCATTTAATAGGATCCATTTATTTTCCATTATCATAATATGAAAGTCTAAGTGTTAAAAAAAAGATGTAAGAAAACACTACAAATGATTAATAAACACAAACAGGTTGTTATTTTTTTGCATAGTATTGAATTAATTCACTAAATATGCAGAGCAGAACAGGTGATGAATACTGTTTTTAAAGTGTCTGTTTAATTAATAAGGGATCAGTTTATGGATCAGTAGCTAATGCGGTTGCCAAAGAAGTGGGAAGACCATTTTTCGGGTCCTCAGTACCCTCATAAATGCCAAGTGGGTACAGAAGCCAGGAAGGTGGAGAAAGGACCAAAGAGCAAGCTAGCTAGCCAGACTATAGCTATTGGTAAACTTCAGGTTCAAGTGGAGATCTTGCTGTGTGAATACAGTGGAGAGCAATCAGAGAAGACTCCTGAAGTCAGCCTGGACCTCCACAAGCAGGAACACATTCGTGCAAGTATGCTCATTCACACATGAGCACCCACGCACATACATACCAGCACATAGTTACACATACAGAGATAAAATTGAGAGTAGAGAGAGAGATAGAGATAGAGACATGTTGAAATCTCCATTCTATCTCACCCCATCACCTTCAGTTTTGGTATCTGTAAAATGGAGAATAAATTTACTTTAAATGTTCATCATTAGTTTTAATATGACCTTACATAATTTATTTTTAATATATGTGTACTTAACACAAAGGTGGTGATTCTATTCTATGATCACTTTAAGAAGTGAGACATACACACTTCTTGGTTTTCATAGAAATAATATTAGATTGCTATGACTCTATACTTGTGGTAGAATATTCTGCTCACTTTCTTTATAACTTTGAGAGTCAGTTTGCGAAAGACTAGAGTTTAAGATGTGTGTGATGTTGATTTAAAAAACATGCAAATGCACTTTGGATTCATTTCATAGGTGGAAGGGGTTTTCTGTGTACATTCTGTGTTTTCTTTATTTTTAAAACACTAACATAATCCTAAATGTGCCTTTACATGTTGATGTATCCATTATGCCTACTATTCTTTCATTAAAAATACTTCTGAAGGCCTTCCACATCAGTGGTCATATGAAGACACAACATTAGGATCTTTCTTCAAATAGCATGGAATCCTATAAATGCTCTGCGTGTTTTCTAATCTTGTTGCTTTTAAAATGAGAAAATATGAACTCTTGTAAGTTAACAGTTGATTTTGTGCAGCTCAAATTTTATCTTCATTCTAGCCATTGGAGAAGGAAGATGTATGTCATTTAGCTGTGTCTATAGAACAAAGAAGTGAAAATGTGACAAATGGTGAAATGGAAGGTATGAGCCGTGATCACTGAATAGTCTTTAGACAGAATGTGTGTTTAAGTCAAAGTGAATATGCGTGCAAGCAGACAAAGATACTGACCCAACTTTTACACAGTAATTTAAAAGAGGAAAATTGTGGCTAGCTTCATACTTGATCCAGTTTCAACATTAATGCAGCTGCATTGCTAAATGTACTCAAGGTGTTACATTATCTTCGTGGCAGTTGGACATAAGGAAGTGTACAAATGACCTGGGAATGAATGATGAGAGAATGGTGGAGTCCACAGAATAACCGAAACTTAAAGGAGTCAAAGGCTTGAATGTGCGATGTCTCCCATAGGCTCAGGTGTTTCAAGGTCTCCAGCTATGACAGTGGTTCTCTTCATTCACCATTTATTCTATTTAGTTTCTTATTTACTTTCGTGGCTGAAATGTCACAGAATTGGGTCCATTGCTACAGTTCATATGACTTTATATAAGAATTTAATATGAAATATATTGTGAAATAATCTTGAATATGTGATCCTTCCTTGCTAAAAACCATTCTTTCTCTGTGGTTAACGCTGATAAAATACTTGCTGTAGACGAGACTCTAAGACACAAATCCAAATTACTTGCCTATAGAATCACCTTTGACCTGCCCCTCCACCTGAGACCCCCTTCTGCTGCATATATGCTTTCTCGTCTCCTGAACTTTCCTCTTCTTCTCCTGGTTTGCCCTTCCTCCTCCCCCATTGTTATTCTTTGTGTTTGAGCATTATAAACACGGCCTTCCCATGCAGCACTTGCGTTTTATAAATGACTCATATTCTTAGCTGGCCTCTTTGTCCTTCCTAAATTCCTAGTACTTCAGAAGGTAGGCATTGAAATTAGACTTCCGGATAGTGTCAGTGAAATACACCACCAAGCTCAGTGATCTTTATTATATCAGTGAATTTAATTTGTTTCCAGCTGCATTTTGACTGCCTTTTCATGTAATCAGCAGAGTGTAGTCACCAACGTTTTAGGTTTGTATATTCATTTATTAACAGTTTACTTTATACTGAATGAACATTGGCATTTTTGAGACATGAATAGTCTGAAAATATTCCCTACATCAAACATGCATCATCAATGGAATGTTCATCTAAGTGGAATTATCCTCTGTTATTTACGGGTATTCTACTAACAGTCTTTCTTGAACCATATTATATCGATTTACATCTAGTGCATATGTGGCTACAATACATGTAAAAATTTGATAACTAAGTCGCTAAAAACCATTTATCAAGTGTTAACAATCAGAACTTGACTGAACTCTACCTTTTCACTGTCATATGCCTCTCTTTTTTCTAAGATTTCCAAAATGGTGATGAATCTTTCTTTCTAACTCATGTAGACTAATTCTTCTCTCCATCTCTTTCTACTACCTTTCTTGTTTTTACACTTGTGAATTTATTTGCATTTAAAATAATAATGTACAGCAGGAAAACTGAATGTTATAAAGGATCTCCAAAGCAGAAATGCCTATTTTTCTAGAAATGCGTAGCTGATCAATGAAGATACCCCAAAGCTGACTTGTCTTTAACAGGCATAACAGGGGTGTCAGGAATGCAGTAATGTGGACAATAACTTTCACAGAAGTATAAATATAAGTTTCTATTAATATTTCAAATGTCAGGAATATATCCTGTGATATTGAAAATGAACTTTATTCACATGCTTTTATGATGCTGAGAATAGTGTACTATGAATTTGAATATTTCAATGGTGTTTTAAAACTTTGTATCTGAGCTTAGGCATTTATGTTGAGTTTGTAAATTTATGGATTAATCTTTAAAAATTATTAAATTCTCTGAAACTCACAGAATCTAGTTCCTATCCAAGGGATATATTAAAGCTTTGTTTGGTTACAAGTGTCTCATAAAATATTAAATCTTCTCCTAAAGATTAAGTGCCCTTGAAAGCATTACTTGTGTAAACAAAAATCCAACATTTATTATTACTGTTTAAACATTCCATTTGTTTCTATATAAACTTTGAACTGACATTGCTTCATAGTTAATGTTACATAAATACATGAATTTACCAACAGATCTATGCAAAGAGGTAATATTAACAGAAGAAGAACAAAGAAGATATGATATCCATGGGGGTGTTCAGTCACTGGTATGTAAATATTTAAATTGATGCTACTCACTTGATAGTGTTTTGTTCAACAAGAGAACATAGGCCAACAAAATTACATGTCAGGCTATCATATAGACTAGCTGGTCATAATTTTGACTTTAATTTTAAATAGTTTTTCTACCTCATATTTCTTAGAATACTCTGAATGTCTCCATGTATTCAAAACTAAATATTGTCTTCATCTTGTTTCCAAATATATTCTGATAATTATCAGGTACAAACTCACCAATGTACTAGCTAATTAAGATCAACATGCATCTCATGAGTAAGCACTTAAGTCAACCTCTTGCTTTCCACCTATCTTCTTCTTCTTTCAAAGCAGTATCTGTCATTGAGATGATTCTAATTAGTAGATTCTTCCATCATTTGTTCTAGTCAAAGTTTGTTTCAATTTGTGAGTTGCAGAATTTTTCTCATTTCGAGAGAGGAATATTAGTTTTGTATTCTAAAATACTTTCCTGGTTGGCTACTTACATCTGTTTTGTTTAATAAGCTCAGTTTATTCACTATTCTTATTAAGTAGATGGCATTTTACTGATTATGTTAGATGTATGAAAGTACATTCAGATGATTCTAAACACAAAGGACTCCTTTGGGATTTGCCTGCATGTGTCAAATATTTGTTAAATACCTAGAACATGCTTTGTAGATCGGCCCAGAAAAGTCTGTGTGTGAACAGAGACCATGTTGAAATATCCATTCCATATTTTATTTGTTTAAATCAGATTCTCCACCTATGAAACTCGGGTACTACTGATTTTTATTTAGTTTAGATATTTTATGTGATATTATGTATTTTACTGATCATTTTTATTATCGCACCAAGATAATGAAATTATTTTACCATAAGTCCATAAAGTGAGACACCTTTTCTTTTGCTAGTTCACATGGTTACAATAATAGTACATCTCCCTGATTCTCCAGAACTATGCTTTCCTAACTGCCTGTATTCATTTTATAGATGCTTAGTTATAAATGAGAATTTCATATATGGAATGGTGATTGTAATTTTAAAAAGCAACAAATGAACTTTGGCATTCATTTTTGTAAGTGAAAAGTATTATTTCTGTGAGTATATTACAAACTTCATGTTAAAAATTTTAACAAATAGCCAGGCGGTGGTGGCACACGCCTTTAATCCCAGCACTTGGGAGGCAGAGCTAGGCAGATCTCTGTGAGTTCGAGGCCAGCTTGGACTACAGAGTGAGTTCCAGGAAAGGAGCAAAGCTACACAGAGAAACCCTGTCTTGAAAAACAAAAACAAAAAAATTAACAAATAATGTTAAGCATATTTATCATTTCCTTGACAGCTATTCTTATTTCTCTTAAAATGCTTCAGAGGTGTGGTTTTCATTTTCAGTTGCCATATCAATACAAAAGTTACATTTGATTTAGAAACACACCTGCAGTTCTCTACTCAAATGGCATGCATTCCATGCATTCTACCTTTGTTTTCAGTCTCAGTTCTTTTGAATGAGGTATTCTGATACTAGAAAAGAGAAGCATATATTATTCAACTCTTCTTTGTATTATCTTAACAGATTGTCTCTGAGCTTCTTCCACAGAAGAATGTGATTCATTTACCTGTGACTACAGATCAAAGAATAGAAAATAAGTCAGCCACAGAAATGAAAGGTAAGATCCAAAATTGATATGTAGCCCTTGGAAGAAATAGTCAAGTAAATCAGGAGGATGAATATATTCTACTAAACAAAGGTTTTACCCATTTCTCATGTAGGAAGTTAAATGCTAATAGGATTGATGTCTAACCCAGTTTCTGCAAAAGTTGAAATTGAGTGTGGTATTAAGCAGTTGAATTACTCAATAGATTATAGGGTATTGTAATATCTGAGAAGTAGTAAGCATAATAAACTACAGGAAACCAGGGAAATGAACGACTAGAATGTTGATAAGTACAAGAAATACCAAGAAATCATAAAAGGTTTGTATAGAGGGAAATGATGGAACTCTTTAGAAAATGAAATGCAAAGTACTGGAAATATAAAAGAGGAAATGATTGCATATTTAATCACATCAAGTAAGCAGAGGAGCTGATTTGCATTCCTCTTTTCCTCTTCACTGTTGGGAAGACATTGTACATGGTAGTACTTCAATGCATAATCCTGTTGGAGTTTTATAAGGTAACTAGAAACCTAGCTGGTAACTCCTATGTAAATAAATATTAATGTATAGCAATGGTTTGTTTCTCAAGATCGTATTTTATATGTCAGGGTAAAATAATCCGAGCCAAACTAGGACCTATCCAAGTGATACATACAGAAACACATACATGTATTACATAACTATGTAATCAAAACCATCCTCTATGGAATTAAATCTTCAGCTAAAGATTAAGGGCAATTTGAGTCCATTCATTAGGAGTATAAAAATTCAATTTTCATTTTAATATATTTAAACATCTGAATTAATATTTTTCATTTTATCTACAATGTAATAAAATTATACTCTAAATTAAATATGTGCATTTATCAGTAAAACCAGACAGAGGAGTCATGACGTCAACAGAAGAGCAAATAAGACATGAGAGCAGAGGAAGACTGGGGTCGCTGGTATGTAAATGTCAAGTTGCAGGCTGTCATTTAATATTGCGTGAGTTTTTAATGTTGTTGTTTGACAATGTTACTCAGGGAAATAAAAGTACATGTCATATGACACTGTCACAGATGTATATAGTCACAATTTTGTATTTAATTTTAAAATATTTTAGCTCATTGTGGTTTTAAAAATATTCTTAAAGCCTGAACTAGTTCAGAGAAAATTTTAATTTTTCCTCCTGTTGCAAATAACGTCCTGAAGATTGCCTGTGTTTTCCACTGCATAAACATATTTTAAGTGTTGCAACTTTAGATTGCTGCTTGCACACAACTGTGATATGTATTAAGGACAGACTAACCAAGATAAATGTCCGTGACACAGCAACAAGAAGGCAAAGCTAGTAAGATGCAAACACTTATAAGTCGTAAACACACTTCAAGTTTTTCAGAACACTGAAAGAGTTTATGGTTCCAGTCAGTGACTGTACAGGTGGGATTCTGTAAGCAGAATTAAGTGCTGTGTGTGATAGTCAGCTGCGCTCCAGGAACTGAGACTGTGTCCACCACGGCAATGAAACAGAGTGTAGACATATTGGGTAGAGAGGACAGTAGAGCACATCTGTCCATCCTTCGGTTCTTTCACTGTGGAGTAACCTGGTGGCAGGGCATGGATAAATGTTGTCATAGTCAATGTGATACTTGTAAGGTAGACAAGAATGTAAAAGGGGGTGCCTGGCATGTTTCAAACACTGTACACATGTTCATACCCTCACTTCATGTTTTTATTTTTTAATTTTTTTAAAATTTTATTTTATTTTACAATACCATTCAGCTCTACATATCAGCCACCGATTCCCTTGTTCTCCCCCCTCCCACTCTCCTCACCTTTCCCCCAGCCCACCCCTCATTCCCACTTCCTCCAGGGCAAACCCCCCGCCCCCAGGACTGAGATCAACCTGGTAGACTCAGTCCAGGCAGGTCCAATCCCCTCCTCCCAGACTGAGCCAAGCGTCCCTGCATAAGTCCCAGGTTTCAAACAGCCAACTCATGCAATGAGCCCAGGACCCGGTCCCACTGCCTGGATGCCTCCCTAACAGATCAAGCCAATCGACTATCTCACCCATTCAGAGGGCCTGATCCAGTTGTGGGCCCCTCAGCCATTGGTTCATAGTTCATGTGTTTCCATTCGTTTGGCTATTTGTCCCTGTGCTTTATCCAACCTTGGTCTCAACAATTCTTGCTCATATAACCCTCCTCTTTCTCACTAATTGGACTCCCGGAGCTCCACCCGGGGCCTAGCCACGGATCTTTGCATCCAGTTCCCTCAGTCATTGGACAGGGTTTCTAGCACAATAATTAGGGTATTTGGCCATCCCATCACCAGAGTAGGTCAGTTCAGTGTTTTTAAATGAACATCATTTCAGTTTGATTTACCTCTATGTTATTCATTCATTTGGCAAATATTTTTTTTAGTCCTTTGAGAATTTGGTATAATGTATTTTGACCATATTCCTTCCTCCCAAGACAAGCCCCCTCACTATCCACCAACTTTGTGTCCTCTTTTTTTATTTTAATCAACTAATAAAGTTGGTGCTGCCCATATACTATAGAATGTATGGTCTTCCCCAAGAACATGGTTGACCTAACAGAGATCACACCCTTAAAAACAACTTACTCTCTCTCTCTCCTAAGAGCTATCAAATGTCAATAGCTCCTTAGCCAGGGGTGGGACTTTGTGTAGACCAACTGTTCCACTCTATGTTGGGATTTTACCTGGCTTGTGGTTATACAGGTCTTGTGCAGACTATCTTGATTACTGTGAATTCATATGTATGAATGCCCTCATTTATCCAGAAAATACTACTTCCTTGTAATCATCCATGACATTTTATAATCCTTCCATCCCGCCAGGCGATGGTGGTGCACGCCTTTAATCTCAGCAGTTGGGAGGCAGAGCCAGGAGGATCTCTGTGAGTTCGAGGTCAGCCTGGTCTACAGAACGAGATCAAGGACAGGCACTAAAACTACACAGAGAAACCCTGATTCAAAAAACAACCGCCCCCCTCCCAATTTTTCCATCCCCCTTTCCACAATGATCCCTGAGCCTGTCACTAAGACCCATTATATATTCTGGAGTATTCTCCAAGTTGGTAATCAGTTGCATATCATTTCTAATATCTGCAAGAGATTGTATAATCACCATCCAATATATAATTTTTTTATTCCCTGTGACTTTATTCAAATATTCTACTTTTTAAGATTTTATTTTTATGTGCATGTGTGTTTTTCCTGGGTGTAAGTCACCTCATTCATGCAGTGCCCACAGAAGTCAGGAGAAGGCATCATATTCCATCTAGAACTAGAGTTACAGAGGTTGTGAGCCACCATACTGGTGCTGGGAATCAAATTTGGGTCTTCTGCAAGAGCTTCCAGTCTTGAGCTACTTCTCCAGCCCCTCAAATATGTCTTCCTGTCACGACAATTGTTACAGCAAAGGTCATTAAAAAGTGCATGTACATGAAATAAGTTATTAGACAGATGTTGTCTGTATAGAAAAGATGAGGGCCAATTAAAACTTCAAAGCCTTCTCTTGCCACACATCCCCCTCTTTCTTCAAAGCAATATGTCAACAAAATTATTCTAAGTGCTTAATATTCTCTTACAACAATTTTCAAATAAGAATTTGTACAAATATGTAACTTTCAAAAATACCCATTTTTTTCTCTAGAGAATGCAATATAAAATGTGCTTTTCCAAATCAGGTTCCTTGTCGCCAATTTCCATTTATTTTCTTTAATATCTGTTTACTTACCATTACCATTAGTAAATGAGTTACTAAGCAAGTACCTACATGTGGTTCTCAACACAAAGAGCTTATTGTTTTTGGTACAGTGTTTAGCTAATATCATTGAACATAGCAAAGATGCTAAATATGGTTTAAAAGAGTGTATGTTGTGAAACAGACATGTTGACATCCCCATTCCATTTCCTCTTCATTGACACCAGTTCCTTCCTCTATAAGTAAGGGGATAGATTTACTTCAAAGGCTTTTCATGGCGATTTCATGACATTATACTATGTTTTAACTTTTAATATTGTTTTTATTCTAAGACTAAGATAGGGATAATAGTTTACTATTAGCCTAGGAAGTGAAATATACCCTTTTTTGTTTGTTTGCTTTTGTGGCAATAATGCTAGACTCTAATGAGTCTTCATACTTGGTACTGGAATGCTCCTCTCTGTATTTACTTGTGAGTGTCTTCATTAAAGATTGGAGTTTCATATATGTGTTGTGGTAATTTCAATTTGGAAAAAGTTACAAATGTATTTGGGATTTATTTTCATGGCTGAAGGCCTTATTTGTATGTTTGTGCTGCTTTTATTTTAAATATTAACATAAATTATCTTATGTTTTGAAGACTTCTTAATTTCTTTCCTTGTTAACATATTCTGGATACCTACTATTCCATAAAAAAAAAAATCCTGCTGCTGGTCTTGCAAGTTTGATGCTCCTAGACCAAGTTTTATTTTGGATATATGGAAGCTAAACATAGAATTTATTTAGGCAATCAATAGTAGATTCTCTATTCAAATGATATAGAAACCAGTAACTACTTTCTTTAACATCTAGCCTCATTACTTTTAAAATGGGAAACTGATCTCTTAGAAGTAATAGGAGATTTTATGCAACTCATTTTCAAAATTATTTTTTCCAGGCTGTTTCTGAATCTCTTCCTCAGAGGGACAATGTGGGTCATTTAGCTGCAAGTGAGCAGCAAAGAAAGGAAAATGTGACAAATGCTGAAAGATACGGTAGGAACTAAAGTATAGCAGTAGTCTTTGATAGAGTGTTTATTCAAAGCAGTTGGATAGGTATAATTTAGTAGACAAAACTACTAACCTGTTTCTCATATTGTAACTCAAAGGCAAAGTAGGCTAGTAAGAATGATCTCTAAATCAGTTTCCTAACCCATTGAGTGTGCCACTGAAGTGGCTGAATTGTTAAATAAACCATTCAGCAGTGTAATATCTGCAGTGTAGTAGGCATAGTGAGGTGCAGAGAAGACACAGAAGTGAATGGTCAGAATGTTATCGAATACAGGGAATACTGGACACCAGGGAAATAGTGTGTTGTGGTTTGAGTGTGTAATATCCTACATAAGCATAAGTATATGATCTGATCTGCCTTGGGCAATGACACTGTCTTGAATGCAACTTGAACAGTCATGCTTCCTTGTCAAGATGGAATATACCACCTTACACTGCAAGCCAGAATAAATATTTCTTCCCCTTTGGTTGCTCTTTATCAGATAGTATTTATTTCAGCAATGAGAAAATTAACTCATACACCAAACTGGTAGAGAGAAGTTGGGGCATTTGTTGTCATCAATAATCAATGCAGTTAATTAGCACTTGGGATTGATGTGCAAGAGGAATGTAGAAAACCTTAAAATTTTGGCCTAGCAATGCTCCTAACTTTACAGTTGAATATTGGATGATGATAAGGCCTAGAGAAATGTAGATCCTGTATGCCCCAGCTCATGATATTTCAAGAGTGAGAAATGATTCTATAGAGATCTGGGCTGGGCTACTGGCCATTCAGGTTATATTCTGGCAAAGGGTCAGACTGATTTCTGCTCATGTCCTGGGAGCACCAATGATTTTGAACTTAATAGTGGATTAACTAGTGTGTTTGGCAGGCAAATTGTAAATCAGGATAATATTCATCTTATGACCTCATTATCACCAATCTTATCAAAGTCTATGATGAAAAAGATCAGCAAATTGGAGAGAAAGATGTTTAAATGTGCATTTTGTTGAGAAAAAGCATTCCAACAAGGTTAATGTTCCAGCCAAGTCATATGCTAAATTCAGACCTATGATTGTTAAAGAAACCTCCCATTTATAATGACAGTAGGCCTGGTGCCGAAGAACAACCTCTCAAAGCTCCGATTTGTGAAAATACAAATTATTTTGAAAGCGTCGTAACTCAGGATGCTACAGGTTTTTAATTCCTTGAAGGTGTCTTTCCAGGGACAGGACATAGAGGCTGCTCCAACTGTGGTACAAGGGGACCAAATTCTAACCAGAGCTGGCAATAGAACATGGCTGCAGAATTTTCTAGTTTACATAGTACAATGAAACATGCAATATGGGGAGAGGAAGCAACAGAGTTTTTCACCATGGTTCCATAAATCCACTGAAAAAGAGTCCTTTGTGAAAATCAAGGAATCCATGCAAGGTGACCATGAGTAGCCACTGTGTGAAAATAAGAAAGTGAAATCTAAGTTTCAACTGAGACTCCAGAATGTTGGAGATGCCAGCACCGTGAGACATTGGCTGAGGAAAACTGAGTGCATGAAGTTAAACCAGCCGAAGAGAGGGACCAGTGTGTCCCGCAGGCACCAAATCTTATCTAAGTCCTGAGGAGCCCAGATGAATGCATGCTGAGCCCTACATGTCCAACACAGAGACACAGGATTGAATGCTTTTTTCTCCTGAATTTCATCTATACTTCAATTTGAGTATTCCTTGGGGTGCTCTACCCCCCACTTTGCGTCATTTATCTGTTGCAAATATGCTGGTTGTGTTTTTGATTGTACAGTGGCTCACTTTAGTGATTGCATTGTGTCTCACAAGAGACTTTGGGCTTGTGAGCAGTACTGGGACTGATAACGACACTGAGGAGTTCGGGAGTTAGAATGAATGTGTTTTGCACCTTAATGCGTCCTGTGCAGGCTAGAGTGTAATGTTCCGGTTTGAAGATGAAATGTACTCCGTAGGCTTCTGTGAACTGTTCAGTCCCGGAGGGCTGTTTGGGAAAGCTGTCAACCCACGAGTAGGATGCTCATTAGCAGGGGCAACCATGATGTCCCAGCCATGCTTCCTCTTCATGCTCTACTTCTTTTTGTCTGAGTTTATCAAATGTTACTGGACTGGATATTGTTATATATTAATGGAGTTTTTTGTCTGAATCTGTCAAATGTTAACGGACTAGATGCTGTTAATGTTATCTTGACTGTGTATATTGTATATACTTATTGGATATAATTTTTCTTGTATTAGTTATAAGCTTTTTTAATTTTAGACAAAAAAGGGGGGAAATGTGGTGGTATTGTATTCCCCAAAATATTGGGCACACTAATAAACTTATCTGGGGTCAGAGACAGAACAGCCACAATATTAAACATAGAGGATAGGCAGTGGTAGCACATGCCTTTAATCCTAGCATTCCAGAGGCAGAAATCCATCTGTTCAAGGATACAGCCAAGCATGGTGACTCACGCCTTTAATCCCAGAAAGCGAGCCTTTAATCCCAGGGAGTGATGGCAGAAAGCAGAAAGGTATATAAAGCATGAGGACAAGAAACTAGAAGCATTTAGCTGGATAAGCCTTTAGGCTTTGAGCAGGACAGTTCAGCTGAGACACATTTGGATGAGGACTCAGAAGCTTCCAGTCTGAGGAAACAGGATCAGCTGAGGAACTGGTGAGGTGAGGTGGCTGTGGCTTGTTCTGCTTCTCTGATCTTCCAGCATTCACCCCAATAACTGGCTCCAGGCTTGTTTTTATTAGTAAGTACTTTCAAGATTCCTGCTACAATTTCGTGCCTGAGGATCCAGTGTAGCCAGTCAATATCTGGCTCCTTTTCCAATCCATCTGAAGCATGATAGAATGTATGCCTTCAAACTAATTCAGAAGAAAGCCCTTCTTCATTAAGTTGTTTCCTCTCAAGGATTTTTTGTCACAGCAATAAAATAGCAACTAATGTAAAGTATAATATGATAGAGACTACAAAAAATAATAGTCTTTAGAAACACAGGCAAAGCACTGTCAGGAGGAAAAAAATAACTAGTGTGTAACCATTTAAAGAAAATATAAACACCATAGCATACTGGTGTATGTCTTTAATCCCAGTACTCAGAAGGCAGAAATCTCTCTGAGTTCATGATGTGCCAGAGCTACATGAGTTCCAGGCAAGCCCTGGCCAAATAATGAGACCCTGTTTTGTTTTGTTTTGTTTTGTTTTAAATGACTTTGCAAACAAGTATGCCATTCCTCTTCTTTTTCTTACTTTTGGGTAGGCACTAAGCATTGTGCTGTTTCATCATGCAGGCCTATGATTGGTTTATGTAACCTGAATAGATATATAGGTGTTAAATTATACATGAATAGAAATTAATGTTGCAAAATGAGCCACTTCTGAAGATAAAGTTGTATCAATCAAAATAAGACAACTAGAATGAAGATAAGCAAAGATGAGTTGTGGAGTTATCATGTACAGAATGTGCAATTCAGATGATTTCTTCTGATGTTTTGGTGCTGTGAACCTGAGAAATGGGGCATGCTTGGAAGGGAATAGAGTAATGACCGATTCTCACTTGGATGAATCTCCCTTTGGGGACAATGACAGAATCCAGACTTTAGATCAGCAGTTCTAGGATTCTATGTTTGTTTTTTGAGTGAAATATGTTTCTGCTCAACCAACAGTACTATGAGAAGTCATATAAAACCATCTACACTAGATCAATTTGATGACAATTTGTGATATTTCAGAACCAAATGAAGGGTAGATATTGGCTTCTGGCCATGTTTTGAGGAACCAAGAATGTTTCAAGGGGCTGAATTTTTTAAAGCGGTTTCCTATTTGAATCAAGATACAAATACTCTGCATATAGAACAGGTCCACACTTCTACTTGTATATACTTAGATACTAGTCCTTGATAGAGAAGGATGTTGTGTTCAACATATTAATACAATAATATCAAATGAAAAGAATGGGGACTGCAGATCCAGTGATATTTAAAGTGAGTCATAGGAAGTAATATATAGTTAGCTAGCATTCATTTTGATTCATGTTGAAGAAACTTGAATAATTTTACTTATATTCAAACCAGTTGGTCATTTCAGCTTCTTAGACTTTGGGAAGCAGAAGGCTGTACTAGAATTGTGATAACCAACTTTGCCTCATTCATCTCCATAATTATCAGCATCAAATTTATGTCATTATAATGTTGTGTTTTCAGGAACTGTTAGTATTTTTATGAAAACAATATGAGTTTTAATATATCTGAATTTGGACAATTACTCAGGAAAATGCCAACATGGATTAAAATGTTATGTGAAAGCCATATGATATGTCAGAAAAAAAACATTACAGTATTTGTTTTGTAATAACGTGATGAAAGGCAACATAACAATTGCCCATGATAATTTGGAAACGGAGTACTTCATAGAGTGTGCTCTAACTGTATATGTGGCATTCCAGTTCAGTAGTCATCCTTGGTGACAGAGCACCATATATTTCCTGTAATGCCATTGCCATCACATCTTTGTGCTCATTAAACTGCAGGACAAAGATAATACCATGAAAACATTTGGTGTATAATAAGATGGACTCCCTGGAGTGTTTGAGGAAATATATGTCTTTAGACTGTTTCCATCAGCTTGCACAGAAGCAGTAAACTCACGGCTTCTGGCTTTGTCCTGTGTTCAGGGGCACGTTTCTCTGCACCACTCAGCACATCTAAGTGATCTTGGTGCCTTTGCTCACCACATTTTGTTTGATAGACTCATCATCTGCTTCTGAAAACCATGCCCAAAGGTTTAGTTAAGACTTTGCCCTGAGCTGGGCAGTCGTGGTGCACACCTTTGATCCCAGCACTTGGGAGGCAGAGGCAGGTGGATCGCTGTGAGTTCAAGGCCTGGCTGGTCTACAGAGACAGTTCCAGGACAGCCAGGATGGTTACACAAACCCTGTCTTGAAAAACAAAAAACAAAAGATAAAGAACAAAAGCCCTTGCCCTGATTTTTTCTTTTACTCATTATTTCTGTCATTTTGCTTTCCTAACCTGAGAACAGTGAAGATCCCAAGCATACACACCTACCTGATGACCAAATCTAAGCCGTTTATACTTGCCCAGGTTAATCACTAGAACTCCATTCCCTAGTAGTTATTTGTGAATTCCTGGTTTACTTTGTTCTTTCTATGTAACTAATCATATACCTTTTTCTTCTTTTTCTTTTTCTAGTATTTCAAAAGGAATCCCCTACTCAGTTCAAGGTAACATTTTTTAGATTGTTGCTACTGTGATTAACTTCAGGATCCATAGAATAAAGATTGATCATTACATTTCTTGTCAATAACCTTACAGCCCGTTATTGAGATGGAATATTCACATCTAAACCCAGCAATAGAAAAGATGACTGGAAGAACATGTCAGCCAGGTAATTTGTGTCGACAATCACCAAAAAAAGAAGCTTAAGATATGTAAAACATTTACCATGTGTTCATTCCTCATTCTTTGGTCCCTCAAATCTCAGACAAGACTTTGACATTAATAACCCACATGCCCTTGCTGGCAAAATTATTCAAAAGACACAGTTAACACACTACTGAGAAAAAGTACATGAAATTTAACCTTTGTCTTAGTGAGTTCAACATGTGTGTCTCTACACCCTACAGTTCACACTTGGGAAGCTCTGTACCTTTTAGGGATTCACACTGGCTGGTTGTTACAGAGTGAGCCTTTCCCAAAGTTTGTAAATAGTCATTAGAAAAGTGGATACCATTGAGCATGCCCATATTTCCTGAGATGTGTACTTTTCTTTTCTCTGCTCTTTTCTGCAAGCTATATTTTTAGTTTCAGCATTATGAACAAGAACATGCAATGTCTATGTTTAATGAATGGTTGTTAAATCCTCAAACTGCCTTGGAATTCTCCAATAGCTCCTTCCACTGGAGAAGGGTGACGTCCTAAACAAATGACCTAAGCATGTTATGTAGGGCAGAAGCCATGAGACAGGGAACTGAGCACCTTTGGTGAGGTTTAGCACATTGTGTAAGTGTGCCTGTTACCTAATTTCACATGCTTTTTCAACTGATTCGCAGTGTGTAGTTTTTCAGGGTTCCAGGTTTATACAGTGGTACCCTTAGTAACATTTCATTTTACAACGCCAGTTTGATTGCGGAATACTTCTGGAAACATTCTCTCAATTCAAGCCTGTCCCATCTTATTTTCAACTATTGTCACAATTTTACCCTATGACATATCTGTACATTCTGCTAACATTTCTCTTCCACCACATCATATAGATTACAGTGTGGTCACCAGGCACTTTAAACTATTAATCCCTAAGTACTTATGAGTTATTTATAATTCTTTAGCAACTTGAATTTGGCCTAACTCTTAGACTTTAATTGTTCATCTGTCTTATGGTTTTTGTAATCTCAAACTGGTATCGACTCTCCTCTCTAACTGACATATTTTAAAATGACCTGTCTTTCCATCTGTGTCTGGTCTCTTTCTTGTTTTTCCATTTTTCCACCCTTCTATACACCCAACCTCACTGTTATGTCTCAATCCAGACTTACTTGGTGGAAATCTCCTTATTGGCTGGATATAAACCTGGTCTCTAGCATGTAGGTGGATTTTAATAAATAATTCCAAGTGAAAGTTGACTATTTTTAATACAAAGATAGTTTGAGAGCCTCAGTGTCTAATCCATTAGCTACAGTGTGAAATAATTAGTTAAAATATTAATATTCAAAAGGGATACTGATAAAGGAATCCAAATAGAGATGCCTATACTCCTAGAAAAACACAGTCAATGATGGAGACTTCCCCTAGTTGACTGAGCCTTCACAAGGAAAATAAGGATGCCAGGAAAGAGAACAAAATATTTTTTAGATATATTTGTGTTTACAGATGATGGTTGAAATTAACAGTAGTTATGAGATTGTACACTGTGAATGTGAACACTTCAGTGATTTTTTTTAATTTTTCAGCAAATAAAACATTTATTTTATAAAGAAACATTTATATTATGTTCATTTTATATTTTTATTTTTTTATAAACATTTATTTATAAAACAAAAACTAAAAATTGTGAAAGCTAGACAGGTTTTTCAAACTAAAGTTCAACAAAGAAAGCTGAGAGCTACACTCTACCATGAATCTATTGAATTTAATAGATGTCTATGGAACTTTGCATTCAACAGATACATAATATGTATTCAGCAGCCAAAAGAGCCTTCTCTAAAATTCATCTCAATGTAGTCCATGAGGCAAGTTGTAACAAACACAAATAACTAATGTGATTCCTCATATTGTATCAGATAATAGTGAGATAAAACTAGAAAGTAATAGAAAGAGAAACCACAGAAAATAAATGAGTATTTGGAGACTCAAGAATGCATTTTGGAATAAATAGGGCCATTAAAGAAATCAGAGAGGAAATTAAAACATTCCTAGAAATGGAACAGAAAGTAGAGCACAATTTGTTAGAACCCCTGGGATATGGCTAAGGCAGCTCGAAGAGGAAAGTTTATAGCTCTATAAGCTTACAGTAAACACTTAGAGATATCAATTAAATGGCCTAGTGATCTGCCTAAAGGTACCAGAAAAATAAGAACTAGCCATATCTAACCACATTGATTGCAGGGAACAATACAGAGTGGGGCATAAAGTAATGAAATAGAAACTAAGAAGAAAAACACATAGACTCAATCAAAGAGTTGGTTTTAGGGAAATCTAAACAGGAACACAAATTCCCAAGTCAGACCACACAAAGGAAAGAAAAATCACAAGTTCACAGAAGTAGAGACAAAAAGATAGATTTTGCAGAAAAGTTTCAAAGAATCACTGTAAATTTAGAATTAAAAATATCAGAAATGGGGCTGTAGAGAAGGCTCAGTGGTTAAGAGCAGTGGCTGCTCTTCCAGAGGACCCAGGTTTGATTCCCAGCACCCACAGGGCAGCTCACAACTGTCTGTAACTCCAGAGGATACATATAAAATAAAGTTAAAATATTTTTTAAAATATTAGAAACCTAGAAGCAAAGTATACATTCCTAAACACATATGCCCTACCTAACTTAAATCAGTATGAGATAAACAATATAAAAAAAAAAAACACATTTGACTCAATGAGACCAAAACACTCAAACTATCTCCAGAGAGAAAAGCTCAGTTGTATGGATTCAGGGCCAAATTTTAGCAAATTTTTAAGGATGAGACAGTATTCTTCGAACAGCTCCACAAAACGTAGATTGTATTTTGATCTAACTTCTTATGGTCTTAGAGGGAAAAATAGGAAGTTTTATTCATTTCTAGCTTTCTTAAGATAGAAGCCTAATAACAGAATTAGGCCTCGGGAAACAAAAGAAACTTTGAATCAGCTACCATGAAGAGAGTACTAGGAATGAATAGAAACATAATAACATATTAGTTATTACACTTATTTCAGTGGTGTTTTAAAAATTTGTACCTGAGTGTTTCTTCTTCTGTGTTAAGTGTATTAATTTTTAAGTGAATACATGAAATTCTTCAATTCTTTGAACCTGGTGCATTCTCCTGTCTGTCCCGAGGGATATATTTAAGTCTTATGTGATCTCAAGTAGCTCATGAAATGCTAAAGCTTCAGCTAAAGATTTAGAGTACTTGAAAGTGTTTTTTAGGAAAATAAATCTTAAATTTTTAATTTAACTGTATTTAAACTTTTCTCTGTATCTCTGTGTAATACTTTGTCAGTATGATTCATTGCATTACAGTTATAATTGGTTAAATATATTTCTCACCAGCTACAAACACAGAAATGGCATCTACAGAAGAGCCTAGGAGGAACGCGAAGAAGGAAAAACTTTCGTCTTTGGTATGGAAAATTTCAATGGAAGATGTTCATCTAATACTGTTTTATTGTCTAACTAGAAATCATAAGACAATAAAACTATATGTGCATTTTTCTTATAAAATAATTGGTCACAGTTATTTAATTTTGAAAATATCTTTACCTTTATAATTGGTTCATTTGGTGATTTAATATCACACTATGTATTTTAATTAGCATTTCTATGACAATAGTCAGGTATTGTTGGTGTCTTACTATCATCATACAAAGTGAGAAATGCATTTTTACTAATTTTTGTGACAGTGATACTAGACGTCCATGAGTCTTTCTACGTGGTTAATGAAATGGCCTGTTAATGCTGCATTAAATTGTGAGTCCTTTGGCTGTAGATGAGAGTTTAACATATATGATGTGGTGATTTTAATTTGACAAGCCACAAATGAATTTTGGCATAATGGGGGTATTATTTGTGGTCTCTGTGTGTACAATGTATATTTTAATTTTTATACTAGTAATAAATAATCTTTTTTAAAAAAGATTTATTTATTTATTATGTATACAGTGCTCTGCTTGCATGTATCCCTTTGGGCCAGAAGAGGGCACCAGATCTCATAACAGATGGTTGTGAGCCACCATATGGTTGCTGGGAATTGAACTCAGGACCTCTGGAAGAACAGCCAGTGCTCTTAACCTCTGAGCCATCTCTCCAGCCCCAGTAATAAGTAATCTTAAATGTATGTTTTTGACAACTACTCATATCCATGGTAGCATTCATGTTGACTTACACTGTCAATGGCCAAAAGAAGAAAAAAGTAAGAATGCAATGGGGGCGCAAGCCTAAAGCTTTCTACTGAAAATGTGGATTCCTCTTATTTGGCCATCTCACTGCTGTGCAATGTGGAACTCTGATCTTCCTAGAATAGAGAAGGATATTCGACTCATTTTTAATATTAATTTTTCAGATTGTCTCTGCAACTCCTTCAACAAAAGAGAACCAGGGACCCTTAGCTGAAACTGTGGATCAAAGAGGAGAAGACTATACTAGTCTAGAAATGAATGGTAAAAATCTTTATTTTATGTGTATCCCTTTGAAGGAATAGTTACATAAATCAAAACAATACCAGTGGGTAGAAATATTTGTGTATATCTGTCATACAGTAGATTAAGAGGCCATAAGAATAATAGCTGCAAATGTGAAATGGAATGTACCACCGAAGCAGTCCAATTGCTCAATAAATTACAAAGTCATGGTATTGGAAGAGTAGTAAAACCTCACAGAGTGTAGGGGACACAGGGGATTTAAGAATGAGGAAATTATCAAGTACCAGAAAACAGGGAAGAAGTGTATATTTGATTCTATTAAAATAATGAAATTCTTTAGAAAATGAATATAGGGTACTATAAGATTCAGAGAAGATAATTGATCTTCCAGTAGGTAGTGTTTTCAAGTAAGTAAATGCACGTTTCCCATTGTCTTTTCTTCTTTCCTTCAAGGAAGATATTAAGAATTGTAATAGCCTGTCCTGTTGACCAGTGTTTGATTTTCTTGTGAAATGTAGAAACATGAATGACCAATCATATATGAACATTAATTAATGTCTAACAGGGATTATTTCTCAGAAGAGTATCATATAGGTCAAAATAAGGGAACTGGGAAACAGAAAGCCACAGAGCAAGTAGTCAAGTAAACCATGGACACATAAAAAATCCACTTAGAAATATATTATTTTTCCTGACCCTTAATGTTTTGAATATGATGAAGAAGACTGTGGTGATATTGTGTTCCCCAATATATCATGCACCCTAATAAATTTGTCTGGGGCCAGAGAACAGAACAGCCACTAGACAGACATAGATGCCAGAAGATGGTGGCACTCACACCTTTAATTCTAGCCTTCTGGAGGCAGAGATCCGTCTGGATCTCTGTGAGTTCAAAGCCACACTGGAAACAGCTAGGCGTGGTAACAAGAGCCTTTAATCCCAAGAAGTGATGGCAGGAAGCAAAAAGGTATTTAAGGCATGAGGACAAGGAACTAGAGCCTGGTTAAGCTTTTTAGCAGCACAGTTCAGCTGAGACCCATTCTGATAAGGACTCAGAGGCTTCCAGTTTGAGGAAACAGGATCAGCTGAGGAATTGGCAAGGTGAGGTGGCTGTGGCTTGTTCTGCTTCTCTGATCTTTCAGCATTCACTCCAATAACTGGCATCAGGTTTGTTTGCATTAATAAGAACTTTTAAGATTCATGCCACGGAAGCCTAGATTTGAAAAGGGGAAATCAAATAAATAAAATCAAGCACATTAGGTTTAAGGAGAAAGACCAGATTCAAAGAAAGTTAAATTTGGGATAGCATTGACCATAGAGACTCAAATTTGATTATCATATGAAGAGGATCATGATAGAATTCTCATTATGATTTACCAACTCCTGGTTTCTGGATTTGTCCTTTGGTGGTCAAAAGGGTTCTTGTCAACCAACCATATACTATTAAGGGTAGTTATCAGAGATCTATATAAAAGATCTATTGTATAACTTGAAGTACCACAGAACCAAAGGAATAACTGTTGATTTGGATACAGGGTTTTTTCTAGGGATATTTTAGTTAGAGTTCCTTTGCTGTGAAGAGACACCTGGACCATGGCAACTCTTATAATGGAAAAACATTTAATGGGGTGGCTTACATTTTCAGAGCTTTAGTGCATTATCATCATGGTGCAACATAGCAGTGTACAGGCAGACATGGTGCTGGGAGAGGGAGCTGAGAGTCCTACATTTGACCTGCAGGCAACAGGAAGTGGTCTGGGACACTGGACATGGCTTGAGCATATATAAGACCTCAAAGCCCACCCTCACAGTGACACACTTCCTCCAACAAGGCGATACCTCCTAATAGTGCCATTCCCTATGAGTTTATGGGGAGCAATTACATTCAAACTATCACAAGGGGGAAGAAAAGCTACAATGAAATGAACAAGAAAAATAATTATTTTAGACTTTGCATAACATTCTCTGTTATTAAATGGTTGTATATTCTAAATCTATAATTCTTAGATGTAAGTATTCTATTGGGAAGATGTAAGCAATCAATATAATGTGCTCAGATGATGGACAATCATCTAGTCTATTTGTTTCAACATTGCATGCACACACAATGCCCATGCTTTACCAATGTGCTTTTATCCCCAGCCCTCCTCACCCTTCATCTGGAGCTCCTTACACCCAAGAAGGGGAGGTTTGAGATAAATTATCTAATCATGTTACAATCACACAGAGATGTGACACGAGAGACTAAGCTTCACGTTTGGTGAAGTTGAACACATTACTTACTTTATTCCTCAACTCATTTCATATAGCTTTGTGATTAATGATTGGAAACTAGCCTTTCTGGATCCCACATGTTATACATTTATTCTTTTAGTAACAATTCAATTTATGCTAATGGGAAATTGACAATTTTCAGTCCTGAATATTTCTGGAAGCAGTCTTTAATTTCAAGGCAGAATCTCGTTTTTAACTTCTATCATAAATGAACTCATCCTCTGATAACTGTGCGTGTGCTGCTGCTCTTCCTTCTTCCACCACACACTATGTCTGTGTATGTATAACCATGTGCAACTTTAACATTTTAGTCTCTAGGGACCTATTTTATTCTTTCCCTGAGAAGCAGAGTTTTGATTGTATTCATCCTCTTTGCCCTACTCTTCCCACGTCCATTTCCTTTTCCACTCACCCACTCTGTGTGCTTTTTAAACCTATCAAGGCCAGTTTATGTTGCCCAGTCATTCTCGAGTGTGTGATTTTTCCACTGGAACATGGTCAACTCATCACTGTATTTCAGTTACTTTTACTTAAATGCATCCATTTATCAGCAGAACCGAGGAAAGAAGGGACATCAAGAAAGGAACAGAGAAAGCATGATGGCCGTGGAAAAGCTCAGTCACTGGTATGTTAAGTATTTGACCTGAAGGTTCTCATTTTATCCTATTTTGTTTTGTTAAACATACTCAGTAAAGTCTATTTTGATTTGAATTCTTTATGATACTATGAACTTTATACATACTGAAGTTCAGGTAACTTTCAGAAAGATATTTGGTACCAGAAGGAAGATGTTACTTAGTTTTAAATATGCGAGGACTCTAAGAATATCCTCAGAATCATACGGAGATAAAATATTTTTGTTTAAGTAATTAATTGTGACCATTTATTGGTGTTTTATGTGTGCAATGTTTTTATTTTTAAATTATCAAAATAAATAATCTTCAATGTTTCTTTATTAGTTGGCACGTGTTGGCAATCACTGTTCTACAAATACGTTTCTTCTGAGGTTTTTTTGTTTTTTGTTTGTTTTGGTTTGGTTTGGTTTTTTGTTGCTTTTGTTGTTTGTTTGTTTTTGGGTTTTTTTGTTTTGTTTTGTTTTTTGAGACAGGGTTTCTCTGTGTAGTTTTGGTGCCTGTCCTGGGTCTCTGTAGACCAGGCTGCCCTCAAACTCACAGGGATCCTCCTGGCTCTGCCTCCCAAGCTCTGGGTGGTGGCATGCACCACCACTGCCTGCCTTCTTCTGACTTTCTATATTTGTTATTTTTAATAAGTGATCATATGAAGGCAAACATAAGATTTTATTTTGATAATGTTCTCTTTAAATGGCATGGGATCCAGTGTTTCCCTTAAGAACAAGGCTAGTGTTGTTGAAATGAAGAACTCAAATAGTCTTAGAACTTGTAAGGATATTTCTTACGACTCATTTTATATTAATTTTAACAGGTTGCCTCTGAGAATATTCCACAGAAGCAGGATGTGATTACTTTAACTGTGACTACAGATCAAAGAAGACAAACTAAGCCAACCATGGCAATGAAAGGTAAGATCTATATTTTATAACTACCCATTGAAGTAATCTTAAGTAAATCAGGAGAACCAATACATGTCAGTGGACAATGACGTTTACTTGTAGTAATACATAGTAGGATTGACATTGCATCCATGACTGGCCTCAATAGGCACCCATAAAAACATGGCATTCTCTCAGACAGACACACACATGCAGACATAAACAAAAATAAAAACTGACAGTTCACATATATGAAATAAAAATAAAATTTTAAAGGATTTTGAAAAGAAATAGAAATAAATACTATCACACCATAACCAAATTTCATTGTTTTTCTACCTATTCATGAAGTTATTCTACATTATCTCCATATAACTCATATTATTTTAACAATTTCAATCATAGTGGGGTGTCATTCCAATCAAATACTTTTGAAAGCTAATGGCAAATAAAAATATCTTGTACAAAATTAAATCTTCAACTAAACATTAAGTAAAATTGAACCTATACTTTATAAAAATAAAAAGGTGGTGCTTATAACTAGCTTTAATTATTTCTATTTCAATAAAATACATTTAAATTACCTGCCATTTAGTAATAATTTATTTTACTTAAATATACACATTTGTCAACAGGTCCGTGCAAAGAAGAGACAACAACAGAAGATGAAATAAAGTGTTATAGCCATGAAAGTGTTCAGTCCTCGGTACGTAATAATTTAAATAGAAGGATTTAATGCAGTTTTAACACAATAGCATATGCAAATAAAATTACATATCAGGTTATCTTGTAGGACAATTGATCATATTTTAATATTTAGCATTAAAATGTTTTGACTCATTAATATTCTTAAGAGTCTGTATGAGTTTGGTGCTAAACATCATCTTTCCATTTCTTGTCAAATTTCTTCCTGAAAATTACCTGAGCACCTGATTGTATAAATTCAATAACATGACTAATAGTTAAGATGTAAATAAGTATTTTAAATTTTAATGTCTTATCTTGTCATGGTGGGTGGGTGTGGAAAGAGCAGGGGAGAGGGAGAAATGAGAGAATACAAATGTGTGCCAGGTGTACATGCACATGAATGCAGAGGTTAGAGGTCCATATCTGAGTAAGGACTATTCTATTGCTGTACACTGTATTTACTGAGACAAGGTCTCTAACTGAACATGATCTCATCAATTGGCTAGAATGCTCCCAGGACTCAAAAGTAGAAACATGCTGCCATGCTTGACTTATTTATGTGGGTGCTGATTCAAGGCCTCATTCTTCTTCTATAGACACTTTCCCAACAAAAATATCACCCCGCTCCTAGCATCTGAAATTGTAAGGAAGACATAGGTGGAACCTTTACAATTGTATTAGCATTAAAGGATGATCATTCCCACGTAGTCGAAAAGATTTCTATTTCCAGATTGCCAGTCAGTATTTTCAAACTTAAAAGTTGAATCCTTTCTTTATGATCTCTATATGACTTTCATGTGTCCATTGATGGAGAAAGTAGACTCATATGGGGTGCTAATTAACACACAGGAAAATTTACTTATTGGGGCCTTTTTGGGTGAGCATATAAAAGATAGCTTTCTAACCTACCTTGATTTCAATGATGTAAATTTGCAAATATAAAAGTATTGTGCATTGCATTTCATGGACATGATAGTGGACTTGGCATGGACTTCTATTGATGTATTTGGTATACAGATTTCTCATTTTTAAGAAACATTTAATATATATATATATATACATATATATATATATGTATATATATATATATATAAATGCTATAGACATATTCTAACTCTGCTTGGCATACTCCTGAAGATGATGAAATATTTTGATATTGAATAAACTTCTTCTATTTGCATATCCACTCTATGATAGAAATTACACACTGAATTTCCTAGGTAAGAGTCTTTGACACAGTGACAAGTTAGAGAAATTGGTCAGCTGCAAACACTTGCAAGTCACATTACATGCTTAATATGAAGAAAACACGGGGTATTAGGACAAAAAAAAATATCAATGTAGTTTGTAGTTCCTCTTATTTAGAAGTGAGAATAAAATTCTGTGATTGGGGAAGATGAACGTACAAGATGTAAGCTGTGTATTAATGAATGAGAACGTATCAACCATGCCAGTATCTAGGAGGATGACACACTGAGCAGAGGGAAACAGAGGGTCACAATATTTCATCTGGCTCTTTGGATTCTGGACAGACCTGAAACAAGAATGGGGAGAATCGTGTGCTAGCCACCTTTACACTTGTAAAGAATACGTAAGAAAGGATAAAGTAAAGCCCAGATCATTACAACACTTGATTAAAAAAATAAACATACATATGCTTCCACTCTTGTTATAGTTTGGAATTCTTTTTTGAAGGTTTTCCTTAACAGATCTGTACTATATCTAATATTTTTCATGCTATTATTTTAATATAACCTAATACATGTATTTTTTAACATTTGATCACTTTATTAAAATGTTGTTATTCTAATATTTATCGATATTTAGGACTTTATATATGGGAGTATATGTAAGAGAGATGTATGTGCATTGCTGTATGTGTTCATATGTGTGTGCCACTGGATGCATCTGGGAACAAATAGGAGGACCTCAGGAGTCCTGAGCTGTCAAGTTGGCTCCTTCCTTGATACAATGTCTCCTGTTGAGTGTGGATAAAGACTGGTTGTCAACAAACCCCAACAGTTCTCATGTCTCTGCTACACCCAGCACTGGGTTTGCAGGCATACATGGCCATACCAGAGTTTTTACAGGTCACTGGTATTTCAACATCAGGAGCTTATGTTTGCACAGAAACACGTCTTTTCCACCAAGGCATCTTCCCAGGCTCTGCATTTATCCCCACATCTTCCTAGGAGCCTCGGAATTTATCCCTGTTTTTAATCTACCAGAAAAATCTAATACAATATTTTCTTTGTTCTTTATCTGGCATAATATTTTAATGATGTATATCTTATTTTCCCTTAAAACAACTTCACTCATTGAAATTCCTCTAAATGATTACGCCTGTATCACACTACATTACATTTAAGAATTTACTTAATATGTTACGCTTTAAAAATGTATTTCTCTTTGGTGCATTTCCTTCTTATATTTTTCCTGCCTCCTCTTCTGCAATGTTCCCTGAACCTTGAAAGGGATTTTATAGTGAGTCACTACCCCACTATTGAAACTTTCGTCTGTCATTGGTTTCTGTATTAGCTATTGTCCACTGAAGTAAGAAGTTTTTTTTTTTTCAGTGAAAACTCAGTGTAACTCTACTGTATGGGTATAAGCATGGATATTTAGAAGGCAGTTTAAAACTATGACCGCTTAGCAAATCAGTGGTCGTAGGTTTCCCCCTAAGACAAATTACCTCTCTAGCTATGGACCCTTGACCAAGCTTATAGACCAAACATGAATACCCTTCTGTGGGGTGAGCCACAATCCAATCAGAAAGTGGTTGGTTACTTCTGGAAGTCTAACTTCAAATGGGTCTGATGACCTGGGATGGGTGTGTAAAGCTGGCACAGCAAGAAACTATAATCACCTGTTTCAAACAAATGACCTCAGATAGCCTCGGTCATTTTTTCTTTGTACAGTTCCAATAGTTTGTATGATCAGTTTTACAATCAAATTTATTTCCTTATATTTCTAACAATGGTTACAATAATTGCCAGTTTGTTCCTTTACCTCGTTCCCCTCCCATCCCCCAGCTTTCCCACTGGTAACCATTACCTGCTTGATTCATAGCTCTAATGTTAGAAACATAAGCAGTGTTGCAAGAGACCAGGTTTTCTAACTAGGCACACCTACAGGTAGAACAGTGTGCCCAGCTGGCAGCATTGGAGGTTACAGCATCATGCAAAGTGGAAGAGAGTTTCACCTCTAGTAGTTAATGTCTACCTCTAGTCAAACCTAAGTTCTCACAATTGACTCAGCAGCCAAGGCTGAATCAGTTTGTTCTTCCTTCTGTACTACTCTATCTCCTATGGAGGATATACCAGGTTTTTTCTTATCATTCTGTAGACTACATAGCTTAAAAGCTTACTCTTAATAGTTGGCACTGCTTATCTTGTTCTCACGTCCCCTTCCTCTCAACTTCCTACAGCATTGGCACAACTGTTAGAAATGAGGGCATTGTGGGTTTCTCTGATTCTGCTCTTCATTCCCTGTTCCTAGACTGTTCCCATTAACTCTTGACATCATCTGCTTATTTGCATTTCTCCTAGACTCTTGCGCTTAGAATCATTCTCTCCAGAACAGTTCTGAAGATTTATAATGTCATGAACTATTATGACTCTTTCAGGCTAGTGACAAGGTGTATTGGAAAAGCAATATCCTGTTCTTGAGTATCCTGAAACTCATGATCACACTTGAAACATCAAAGGCTTTAGGAGCTGAATCAAGTCCACTGTATATTTTTAACAACATCCCCTCTTGCTCACCAAGAGGAGAGTCACCAGGGAGAAGTTTTCCTTATGCAATAGCCATTTCATCCATCGCTCTGAGAAAGTAACACTAGAGGCAGCCAGCAATATGATTTGTATAAGGAAAGCAAAGAGAGCAGGTAGCATATATGCTCCTGGGTCGTGCCCAGAATTATGCAGCGAACTACCCATGGGTCTTGCCAAAAATGGGTCAGATTCTTGGGGCCTTGACACAGGGAGAATTTTGTTCATGCTATTCTCAGGCCTTGTCCCCTGAAGAAGTCACATGCCTCCTAGCAATACACTCAGGCAAGACACTCTAAAGTCATGCAATAGAAGAAAGGAAAAAAGCGTGGAAGTGTGTTGGGAATAAGATGTACAGTAGAAAAGGGAGGGAGGGACAAAGGGAGTGAAAGGCAAAAAAAAATACACTTATTCATTAATGTATGAAACTAACAAAATTTAAAATTTAAAAGACTTTAACATATATATTATATTTCACTGAAGGAAACAATGTATAATTTTATATTCAAAACTGTTGTTGATATATGATGTCTATGAGTATGTTCCTTTCAACCTTTCACGGTTGGTTTATGTAGTACAGCTATATGAAAGTAAACATCAAGCTTTATTTAGACAACCTTGTGAGGCTTTCTACTCAGTATTCTGAGTTTCAATACAACCAACCCTTATTTTCCAGTGTTATTGCTTTGAAACAGGAAATTAAGCTGTCTTTTCCAGTAACACATGAGAGAGCTTTGTTAAGATCTTTCCTGACTCTGATTTCAACAGATCCTCTCTGAGCCTCTTGCACAAAAGAAGGATGTTGTCTATTCACCAAAGATCTCAGATCAGAGAGGAGAAAACGTGGCAAGTGGACATATGACAGGTCAGAACTCTATTTAGTTGAAAGCAATTTGGTGGAGTAATTATTCAGACTAGGAGCAACTGGTATATGCCATGAGCCAACGAAATTATTTATTACACATACAGTGAGTTCAAATAGAACTCAAATGGTAATAAGTCTGATATCAAACTTAGCATAGGCTGCAAATGGGAATGCCACTTTAAATCAATTTCAAAATATTCAGGCATCTGAGAAATGTTGAGCTGTAATGAAGAGCAGTGAAAACAGGAAAATTAGTAAGAAATGCACCAAGTATGAGGAGTACTGGGAAAAGGAAGCAGAAATTCATGATCCTGTGTGTGAAAACAGTACTAAAAACTTACCCCTCCCAGTTCAGGAACAAAAGAAGTAGGCATGCAACAATAGCTTAAATTTCAAGTACCACAGGGACAATAAAAAATTGATAAAGTTATAAAGAACTCAAAAGAGATGCTTGTTCTAATAGAATACAATTGCCACAATCAGTGATGACTTCCCACAATGTATGAATCTTAGGGAAGGAAAGGAGTTTGCCAGAAATAGTATTTTCAGATTGGAAGGACCACCATAGTCATAAATGAAAGACAGAAAGGAAAAACAGTTTTGATAAATAAAATGCAGGTTGTTTAACTATCAGTGCCGAAATAGAAAATGGCATGTGTGGTGAATTTGAATGTTTCTGTGGTATTTAAAAATGTTGTCTTCATCCAGGCATTGGTAGTGTATGCCTTTAATCCCAGCAGACAGAGGCAGGTGGATCTCTGAGTTCAAGGCCAGCCTGGTCTACAGAGTTCCAGGACAGCCAAGGCAACACAGAGAAACCCTGTGTCAAAAAAAAAAAAGAAGAAAG